GGAGGGAAAGGGCTAATCTGAAGGTAATTAAAGGTTTACTCAGTTGAAGAGCTCGTTGGCCTGGGCACTGTCGCTGCCCAACTGGGAATTATCCACGTAAACACTTCATCCATCATGGAAGCTGCTCTGGGCGTTGTAGATTCCAGGAAGTTCTATGACGAAGTGGACGAGCGCTGGAATCACTGGCTGGTTAATCGGGAATCCGCTGCCTCTGAGCTGCATCTGGTCTGGGGCAAAGGGGTTGTTGGTGGACAGGGCTTGGAGGGAGGCTGGGAGTCGCTTTGCAAGAGCCAGTTGAAGCCCGAAGAGGCCTTGGTTCACCATTTGTATGATGGAAAATAGGTTCGCTATGTCTGAAGCGTTCGAATCTGCTCCGAGAGGAGAGACCTGAAATTGATCTATTCTTTAGCTTGGTAGTTAAGAGACGATCTGGAGCAGGAATGCGAACCAATCATCGGTCCGTAGACACTATCCTCTGTGCTTGATTTGATGGCTGTACAGATTATACGTTGTGCATACATGTAACTTAGCAGATGGTTGCAAGAACTGTAGAATGAATGATTCTGGTTTCCGGAAGGCTATTTGCTTCCAGCTCGGCGTATATAGCTCTATAACATCCCGACCAACAGTCCCTCGACTTGCCTCTGTAGCCTCTTTCGCAACTTGCACCATGCTAAAAAGTTTCCGACTCTCATACTTCATGCACCTGTTCTTCTACCGCAGGCCATGCCCATCGGGGCAGAGTCCACGTCAACCACCAATTCCCCGCCGCGTCCTTACCCATCATCGGCCCGATATTCGTCGGCATGGGGCCGCTCACAGATCCATTCACGGCGATATAGGAAGGTCGTCCCACCGGGCTCGTCCGTCGCCGCTCCCCTTCTGCCGTCGACGCACCAATCGAGGTTACTGCCGCCGAGAAGTCGATCTCAAAGAGCCGGCCCTTGTGCCAATTCGACCACGCCATGAGAAGCGTGTTGTAGTCGCCGAAGAGCGTTGCATCAACCCCATTCGCTTCTGTGGCCGCTCGGATCAGCGCCGCCAGGGCTTCTACCTGCGGCTTGGTGCGCTGCTGAACGAGTGAGTGGCGGATCTGCGCGGCCAGCTGGCTGATCGGCATGGCGAGGATTTCACGGACCCGGAGGAAGGTGTAAGCCTGAAAGGTGGCGTTGCCAATGACGGCGACTTTTTTCGAGGGTTCAGCCAGCTCTGGAGGCAGGACAAGAGAGCGGAAGTCGAAGATGTTCATCAACGCGAGCAAGCGGTCTGGGGCCGGGCTCAGCGCTTTGATTGCCACTTTGGTCCACCACGCTAGGAGCACATCACTTTCGCTAAGGAACGGAGCTTGGGAACTAGCGGCATCTCCGATGGTGGTCTTGAGTCCCTCGATCGCCTGACTTCGCATTCCGTCGACAAAGGCTCCGGGGATGCAGAGAATACGCTGCTCTTCCGGACCCTGCCAGAAATACTCCCAGAGAAAACACATGGTACCGATAATCAAATGAATTCCTTTGAGTAAGAGGCCTTGATGTAAGAAGGGCTCCGCAGAGGTCGTGCTGCTCAAAGCTTGCATTGGAGTCGTGTCCAATCCGAGGAAAGCCGGCACATGGTCCTCTTGACCACGGAGTACAGCTGTCCAGGCTGCAAAGAAGCTGGACATACCCATTCCATCCATGAGGGTGTGCAGGAAGGTAATCGTCAAAATGGTCGTGTCGGTGAATGAGGCAACATGGATTGTGAGCTGGGGTCGGTCCGTGTAGATGAAATCATCTAGGCATTGTGGCGCTTGCGCATCGCGATAGAGGGGGATGACCTCACCGGCTAAGCCCAGTACACGCGGTGTATCCGTTGCCGTGGGGATTCTTGACACTAGAGGATGCTCAGCAGCTTTCATCGGGTAATTTTCAGAGGTGAGGATGAAGCCTGGTCGCCGGGGGGTGTATTCTCGCGGGATATGATATTCAAGCTGCCCGGCATTCTGGGAGTCGTTCAGCTCAGATGATTTTTTCTTCAGAGGAAACGTACGGTACATACATTTCGTCGTAATCGTGCACCTAGCTTGTGCCAATCTCCGCGCTGCAGTAGTCGCGTCAAGGATTGATCAAGTGTCTTGATATCGAGCACGTCATCAAAGCGGTAAGAGACATTTAGACAGATACTTTGTTGATATGGCCGGCCATCCCAGAAGCAGAGTGGGACGATGGTGTCGGTCGGTACTGTTACAGGCTGAGGGGGCTTTGCCTTGCGAAAAAGATTGAGAATCCCCATTGTTGCGATTGAGGATTGGAGGGGTGAAAGGAGAGAGATCGAGCAGAAGTGTGCAACGTTCACTTTCAAACCCAGAAGGTTTAGTGATTAATCGGATTAGTGCTTACAGATTCGTACAGCCCGTGGCTGAGTGGAGCCGGCCCGGTTCCCCACAAGGCAAGGCTGGCTGCTGGACTCGCTACACTTTTGACAGTCGGTCGGCTCGGGCCTTGAAATTTCCATTCCATACATTGTAACGCTACGTCATGAATGTTAGCAGAGATGATCTGTATCGGGGAGCGATCAGGAAGACTGTGCATGGTTGTGATGGTTTTGTACCAAGCCTGGTGTTATATTGTTTCTCCGCCCTGTGGTACAGTACGTTGAAGTTCTCTGAGTTATCAGCTGTAAGCAGAAGGCGAGCAGTAGGGTATGAGACTGCACTTTCGAGGTCTGCTAAGTGCTCTAAGACCAGGACTGATGTCAGTTATAGTAGAAGGGAGGTGAGCACTGGACTGGGTTACCTGCGCACTCGCAGAGACATCGTGACACGAAGTGGGCGACGCCTCAAGACATTCAAGATGAAGTCTGAAGGAGATTGCTGTACTTCCAAGGTAGAGTTGTACATGAGCTCGCAAATATGAGTATTGAGAGTCAGAATGAGCGCCGAGTGATACATGAGGGAGGAAGTAATGGGTCAGAAGAACAGTCCATCTCAAAATGTGCGTGCTGACATCAAAGATTTATGATCCTCTTGGAGTGAATCGTAGTGTTTGTGTATGTACGTCTCAACCAGGGTATGCTCTTGCAAAATCTGCGAATTGCTGTGCCTCGCTGCGACTTGTCATCTCAAACGAGAGTTCCTGAGCCTTGACAAGGTAGGTAATCATGAGAGGCTCACAGTGGCTTCAAGCTGCGCCCCGAAGTCAGGACCCTGAAGCTTGCAGTGGTAGATCGTTGTGTTTCTCGCCTCATTCTGACAGTGAGAGGAAGATGTGTCTCCGGCTACCAGCTAGTGCTACAAGCACCCCTCGCACCTTCCCTGCATGCATGTTGTTCAGTCTAGGCCCGACTAACTTACCCCTTGATCTAACCATATCTCGGTATCAAGATAGATCTGCTCGAACAAGACAGCTTCAGTAACATCTGCGATTTATTCCCAACGTGCACACGCTAACACAATATTCATATCGGACAAACAGATATGTCTTCCTTTTCTTGAGATAAACAAACGATATACTGGCCTTGTCTTACCTTTTTTTCCAAGACAAAATGCACCATGCTAGAACCCGATCGAGCTAATCGTACCTTCCCGAAGCTCTCTTGATACTTAGCAAGAGGCACCTTGAAGCCGTCTTCCTGACTAACTCAGCAGCCCCATGTTATTCCGCAGTGCATAGATCGTAGAGCCAGCCCTCCCCGCCGTCAGCGAGTGCGTATCATGACGCCGCGATGACATCCTACAGCCTCAGAAGCTAGCAAAAACAAAAAAAGATTGCCGCGACTGGGACTCGAACCCAGAATCTGCACTCCACACCGCTAGCATAAGGCTAGTACGGGGGCTCTGCAATGTTAATACCACTACACCACCGCGGCTGTTGTTGTACAGTAGCACTAGCAACTAAATCATAACCCAGCGGCCGTAAGATGTTTTGGGCTGCTTCTCGCTGGTATATGAGCATTCTGGCAATCAAAAGAGCGCAATATGAAGCTTGATGCTGTAGCTATCTAACGAGATGCATATGAGAAGATCTTACACGTGGTTATTGTGCAGGGAAGGCTTTATAACTCCTAGTATAGAGTGGAGTACGGGATGCAGGAGGATCTCCACCATAGCTGCCGGGGGACCCGGGGCCCCACATAGTGGGGACTAAGCGAGTTTTGGGCAGTCACTTCGAACATCGTTTCTCCGTGCTGTGAGAAACTCGAGAAAGCGTCTATATCGTTGTTTATAGCGAGAGTGGCTTGATGGATGAAAAACAGCCAGCGCGAAGCCTCAAGGGCCATGGATTCGGTTGTTTTTGCTCTGCATATATTTCTTAGATAGGATGATGAGTCATGGTCACATGGGCTTGTAGCTCAGTGGTAGAGCGCTCGCTTCGCATGCGAGAGGTCAGGGGTTCGATTCCCCCCAAGTCCATTCTTTTTGGGGCTATACTTTTTTTCATCTAGAAACGATGGGGTCAACCGAACCCCAAATTTTGGGACGAAAAGCGCCGCCGCCGTTTCTCGTGTAAAGTAAGAGATGCGATGCCATTTCATGTCATGTCTCGTTCGCAGATGCTATTATAGTATTCAATCTAAGACAGAAGTGAAATTTGGTTGTATTCATTCTAGCCTACCTCCCACCCGCACTTGTCACTCATACACGGCCCTATTATACATAGCCCTACGCGTGCTTTAGCCGAGAGCGGTGCTTGAGGTTAGGTGTGTCCTAATGTACTTGCTACAAGGTGACAGGATAGAATCAGGAAGGGTTGTGGCACTCGTGCCCATTTGCAATACGAACATTCTCCCGGTAGGTAGTAACTACACCTCACATGGCATGCTTTACCAACCATCTCTTCAAGCAACAAGGCCTGTCTCTTTTAGGCACTGTCCGCTTGGCACCTGGCAAATCCAACTTGAACCTACCTAGTAAGTACCACTACTAGCCTTTTTGAGTTACCAACTATTCTTAATTCGTCACATGACCACAAGTTACCTTACTGGGTAGCCTAATAGCTTGGCCTGTTGATCTCCCACCTGTCCCTGAATACATGCAGATAACGCGGGGCTCCGCTTGACAACCCACCATGTCAACCGCCCAGACCAAAGCCCTCACGACCGTCGAGATCCTCGAGACCATTCTTCTCCATGTGGATATCCAGTCCCTCCTGACATCCGCTCAGCGCGTCTGTCATGCATGGCACGACCTCATCTCCACGCCTTCCCTGCAAAAGCACCTCTTTTTGACCCCAGACTGGGAGCGACCGCAACCACAGCGCAACCCGCTTTTAGTCCATGTTTTTCCGGGCTGGTTCATCATTGAACATGGTGTCGATCCTGACTACCGGAAGAAGGTCGGGCGCGACGGCCTCAACCCCCGCTGGGATCTGACGCAACCCGACCAGAAGGCGTCCTTCATCCGGAAAGACGCCAGCTGGCGGCGCATGCTCGTGCAACAGCCTCCAATCCGGGGGTTGATTTCTTTCACGAGAAGGAGTGCCCTAGGTGGGGATTCGATCGAGGGCTTGCCTTATATCGAGCATGATGATGAGGACGAGGACGAGGAGGATGCTGATGCTGATGCTGAGGATGGTGAGGATGCTGATGACGATGAAGATGCTCCTGCTCCTGCTGCTCCTGCTGATGACGATGATCTTGATGACGATATTGATGGCGATGAAGATCTTTCCCCCTTCACAGTTGGACCACCGACGGAGCCTCTCCGAATGGGGAAGCTGGTGGAGGAGGCCCCCAGCACCTCTTTACATGCTGATGTTCTGTGGGATACCAAGGACTATCGACTTCACCGTGATATGCTTCTTCGCAGCAGGAAGCGAGACATTCGGGTGCTGCGCAGTGCGCTCAGGAGGAGCGGAATGATCGTGCTTTTGACTGAGATCGTGCAATGTGCCATGGGGAAGCCGCCTCCGCAGATCGCATGGAGGGAAAGCCAGAGGCGCTGGTGGGCCGGGGTCGAAGAGCCCACGAGACGCGCTCGGGGTCATCTAGCCAAGAGGCAACGTTGCTGTTGAAGGTGATTTCATTATCAGACGTCGCCAATTTCTGGAATAAACTCGATAGACTGCCAAGAGGCTCATCTCATGTGCACTGCCGGAACGGCAGGGACAAAGTGTGTTAGGAGGCCATGCTGCCTGGACCCTGTGGAGGGATCATAAGACAACTCCACCGTAGCCTTTGCAGATGGTCCACCGTGCGGTGACCGAGTCGCAGCAAACAGTGGCTAATGTACGGTGTGAGGCTGGTGCACATGGAAGACTGGCATGGTTTCAACAAGATTAGATTTGTTGCTACTATTCGGTTATAATGAGGGCTGAGTTAGGGTGTCTATTATTTAGAAGTTTTCTCAGATTTCGCCATAGTCCGAACCCTACGAGCCCTGCTTATTGACAGGGAACCCAGTCATTCCAAATCTCCGCCTCCAGCAAAAAGGAGGTTTTCGGCGTGCAACTTGCGTAACTCATTCCGTCTATAACAATTACCTCCACTCAGCACGTACCTCATGCTCCATTCTAGCAATAGTTCCGCCCATCCCCAGCCCATTCGCCATGAAGATACCTCAACTAGCAAATAGTGTACCACACATCTTGAAAATGCGAAAGCAGCCGTCAACGGTCATGTTCTATCATGACCAACTGTATTCCTGTCCAACCCCTTCGATGCGGGATAAGCGAGGGCTACCCAAAAGAATGATAAGGATGATAAGCCATCCCTCAAATAAGTATGGGAAAATAAAGATTTCAAACATCTTCCTCCGTCTGATCGGTGTGATGTCGACCATCTAAGCACGTAAATATGAGAATGGACTCTGGAAGGTCGCGAGCTTATAGCTCTTCTTCCTCAGTAGCCATGGAATCATGCGGTGGATGGTTTACACCCGTACTAGCCGCTGTAGTCCCAGTGGGGTTTGGAGAATTATCGTTGGTGATCTCGTGCGACAAACCTGACTCCATTCGTCGACGCATCACATCTTCATCCGCTTGTGATACGCTAGCTCGCTGTTTTTTTAGAGGGCTGCCGATGAATTGACCATCAAGCGCGTTAGCCGCTGGTTTGGGAGCTTCAGCAGCGGCAGTTGACGGAGGTACAATCGGAGGTGTCGTGGAAAGATTAGAAGACGGAGCTGACTCTCCGGGCGCTCGAGGACTTCCAGTGTCCGTCGGAGGAGTATTAGTGGCAAGCGACGCCGACGAGTGCTGCCGTTTAAGCTAGAATGACTGTTAGTTAGGCGAACAGAGACGAAGCACGAAGCAGGATTGACTCACCTTGATTTTACGAATGCTCTCCGCCAACTCGCCCTGCTGCCTGAGATCTTCCGGAGACAGATGGACATCATCGTCCTTGCCCTCTTCGGCGTCTGCTTTACCAAGGATGGAATTCTCGTCATCATCATCACTATCCATGTCATCATCGCCAACAGTCTTGCTACCCTTCTTTCCTCTCTTATGGTTTTCTGTGCTCTCTCGGAATTTCAGGAAGCCCACGGTGCCGCCAGGCTTGAGCGGGCCAAGATTGGAAAAATCTGGTTGTATCGACCGACGTTTTACAGACCCAGGAGTTTCCTGTGCCTTGGCATCCTTGAGGATCCCCATCTTCTGAAGTTGCCCTAGTTCAAAGTCAGTTTCGACGGCTACTTGGCAAACCGGGTGATGACTTACGCTCTCCGCGGTACATGAACGTGAAGGTGGCGTAGGGTTTATCAGACGCATCAATGCTCGTCACAGTTTGCGTACTAATTGTCTTGGGGTCGAGTGTTTTCGGCTTAGCAAAGCTCGTGGTGTGGTCAACGTTGGCGTCCGATGCGCCGTTGTTGTTGTCATTGCCGCCTGAGACATCGTCGTCGTCATCGTGCGCATCGAATTGAGGCGAGTACTCTCCTCGTTTGACCTCACCAGAAGCCAGAACACGAAACAGTGCCACCTTGATCTGCCCTGCAGACTCAGGGATCGGATCATCATCGGAATCAGAGAATGACATATCGTCATCAGAGACATCTTCCAGGGGGGATTTCGAATTATCTCCGTAGCGCATTATGTCTCTCTCCTTCCGTGACTTTGCATCCGTGTCCATACCGCCGCTTTCTTCACGTTTCAGGCGACGCTTTTCCATCTTCTGTCGTCGTCGCTCAATCTTGGCTGCCGCATCTTTGCCTTCCAGGTCTAGACCATTCAACCATCTCTCCAGTCCGACCTCACGGAACAGGAACTCCCGTTCGGCCAGACCGCCGCCCTCGGATTCCGGGACACTAACCCATCGAGAGTTGACCCAAGTCTCCTCGCCTCTCCGCAGGAGCGTAGCCACCTCCTCCTTCTGTCGGCCGTCGAAGTAGATGTATGCAGCGACCGTCTCGTTTGGCGAATTGGTCAACGGCTTGTAGGGAATCACCATACTAGAATATTGCCCCCGCTCTTCGGTCGGGCCGGGAAGTCCTCCAACAACTTTAGGCCTGGGTGCGGGGTTGTCGGGTGTCGGTTTCGGAGCAGAATAAGGGACATCTTGACCGGGGTTCAGGAGTGTGATGGAGATGGCGAAAGTCGACTGTTCTGGTCGGCCCGATCCGGATTCAGGTAGCTTTGGAGGGGGTACCGGAATGTAGCAAGCTATGCGAGAGGCTCGAGATTGACGTTGGATCGAGTATTCGGAGATCGGGCCATCCGGAGTGTGTATACTCACGGCGAGACCCTTGAAGCAGGGCATGGCGGGACAAAAAAGATAGCAGTAAGCACAGGAATTGAGAGAGAGTCGTCGAAGAATAAGGTCAAACCGGGTTGGATGAAAGAGAAAAGGAGGGGGTGGGAGAAGGGAAAGTGGTGAGGGGTGAGGGCGCGCGTGTGATTGTGCGAAGATGAGCTGGTCGTGTGTTGTGGAGGCGGTCAGGATCGAAGTAGTGAGTTCGGTGTGTGTGCCTGCTACCGCCAGCCCCCGGCGGGGATATAGAATGACCGAAACAGATAGATCGCGGAGATGGACGGCTGCCCCGAGGTTGTCGCTCGAGTCTAGCGCAAGCTCGAGGTGAGGGAGAGGCCGATCGCGTTCGAATTTCGTAGAGATTTATCGCTATGCGAAACGCAGGCATATAGTATTAGCCGTGCAGTATGATGACAGAGACGGAGGGAGAGGGAGGGTGGAGGGGAGGGGAGGGGAAGGTTGACGGGTGTTGACGCCGATCAAGAATAAGTGGGTGGGCTGGGGAGTGGGAGGATCCATCCAAACATACCAAATCTGGTTGATTCCTGGGGAAAGACTCCGGTTCAGTGTTGGCGAACTCGAATAAAGAGAGATATCCAGCAAGAAAACTTGGCCTTATTGACCAAAAGGCGAGTGTGGAGCAGGACAAAAAAAAGGAGAGAGGGGTTGGTTGGGTGATGGGAGGATGGAGAGAGAGAAGTGTGTGAGAGAGAGGCAAAGGCAAGGAAGAGAGGAGGGCCTTTGAGGGGAGGGAAGGAGGAGGGATGAATGTGGAGACTGGAGAGAGTAACTTAGAGAGGTGAGAGGTGAGGATCACCGCCGGCTGGAACTCCGCCTGCTTCCTTGGATCACTTCCGCCTCCCCCTTTGGCTCGTCTTCCCTGATGTCAACCTGATGTATGCTGTCTTCCACGTCAGAACAGTCGTGTTTATTTAATCACGATACTACGCGAGCGATCCTCAATTTTCGCGACTATATCTGAAACTATATCTTGAGTGACCTTCCTGTCACTACTCTCTCTGCATTCTTACTCTAAAGGGCCAAAAGACCTGTTGGTGAGATAAATTCGACGGACAGTCTATGGTCTAGTCCGCCCCTTTCGCCGTGTCCGTTCGTTCCAACAACTACCACGGAATCTGCGCGTTGTCTCTAGAGCCCTCGTCGTCGCGCCTCCTCTCGAGCGATATTAGCCAGATCAGGAAAGTCTCGGTGGAGGTTGCTGAAAAGCACCTCGGCCTTTCGTCGCTTCTGTTCTTCCACCTGCTTCTGCATCTCGGCGACCTTTTCGAGGAGCTTCGCATGCGAGTCAACAAGCGATAGGTCCAATAACTCTGCTGCATACTGGCGTAGCGAGTCCAGCTTTCTCTCGAGAGCGGCGATGCTGATATCGCCTGTAAAAGAGTATGGATTGTCTTCTGGTGTGGTAGACGCTATAGAGGAATGGTGGGAAGGCAATGCGCGCGGAAGCTGTGGCGCTCGATCTGAGTCACGGTCTTCCACTAGGTCACTGATGCGAAGTTGTCCCTTTGGGGCTTGGATTCGCACAGAGGCTAGCTCCGTCTGCTCTGCCGGGTTGTCCCTGATTTGGGTCAAGGTCTTGGTCTGTTGAATTCCCCCCGACTCATAGGTCCGAATGTTGGGGGAAGCATGAGGCCCATCGTTTTGCTGTCCTGGTCTAATGACATCCTCGTTGAAGTGAGTTTTCGGTCGCTTCCCACTCTGTGAAGCATTATATGGCTGTGGAGATGCGTTCTGGGCCGCTCTTTTGCCTCTCCTCTGGTCAAATACATTATCGACAAAACCGGTAATGCGCCCTCGTTGGTCGACTGGTTTCACTCGGGCTCGCACAGGCTTGTCCTTACTACGATACGGCTCGGCAAAGTGGCAACACCGACAATTGCACACCTGCGAGCACTTCGGGCAGATCCAAGAATCTGCATCTCTGAGATACGGAATCAAATCAATATCGAAGTGTCTGTGGAGCCCACGAAAACAGAAGAAGGCATCACATCGTGAGCATGTCATTCCTTTCCATACCGAATGACTATCACGGCATAGATGGCAAAGTCGCTCCTATTCCGATTGTCAACCAGTTATTACGCCTTGATGAGGTCTGCAGGAGGCTAATTTACCGTAGACTGCTTTCGTGCAGTGGCTGCTGCTGCGGCCAAAGTTCCCAAAGACTTTCGACTGAAGAAAGCAACCATTAGCTAAGAACAAACTTGGTTGTAAATTGATTGAGACGGAGGCGAGGTGACTGTAAAAGGTTGCATAGAAAGAAGAGAAAGAGAAAGGCCGTAATGAAGGTAGGCAGTGTTTCTTTGGAATTTTGTGTTCAAGAACCAAAATATTCGAGGGTCCGTACTTTGTACGCGGGGGACTTGAAGACTGCTTTGCACCTAACTTGCTTTGCGCACTGCTGATGACATTGTTGCAGTAGTCCCTTGGAAGAAGCTCAGCCCAAATAAAATTGCTGAAGTGTTTACAGCTGCGTCCAGACACGAAGCACTTGAGACATAGGTCAAAATCTCCACACTGCTCGCAGTGCAAATGACGATTCCAGATCGTCAAGCCGCAAAAATTGCATTCGACCACCGCACCTTGAGTGTCTATAAGCTTCAACTGTACACCTGGTTCATTCTTAATGTCTTCATCCTCGATCATCTGCTGGAAGAGACTTAGAAGAAGGGCATCGTCTTCTGGCTGGCAAGACCCGCTTTGAAGTGCATGTAGAAGAACCAGAGGCACCCGGCCGGTATCTGCATGACATAGCTGTTGATAAACGGGCTGAATATAGTCGAAGAAATAGGTGAGTGAAGAGCTGTGCATTATGTTCCACACCACTTTAGTAACCAGAGAATTGACATTCCAGACCTGGTGAGCAGTGGCAGGAGGAAAGACAACCAAGTCCCCAGGAAACTGATCAGCGACATAAATGGGAAATTTCGCACGACCTAGCTGGGTAACTGTGACGTTCGCCCAGTCCGTATGAGGTGATTTCCCGAGCTCTTCCATGAAAGCATCATACTGGGTTTGTGCATATTTGTCCGTCCCAAAACATATGGACCCATGCCCGCTTCCTACTTGCGAGCTAAGAACTTCTGTGTATAAGGATGGATGAGGTTGTGTGTATTACCTTGGGATTCGATAAGGAGGTTCAGCGCAGCTGTCCCACTGAAGCATCGATGAAAGCCAGAGCTATCCGTAGCCTATGTGTTAACTGATCGAGCAGCGTGGCAAGGTCCTGACATCCAACTTACAACGAATTTTGAGTACCGACATATGCCATCAAAACCTCTGGAGCAATTTCTTTTGGTAGTACTCGGAACAGATCAAGAGTGCCCAAGTGCCTTAGAGGCGGCGGCAAAACAGAGTCCAATGCACGAATCCAGTCTTTGGGGCATTGTAGATCCTTGGCGTAGAGGCTTCGAAGCGAGTCTGTGAGCTGATGGAGCTAGCCCTGGAGGATATAATAGGCCACATACAAATCTCGTCCAATGCTCGGGGGTGGGTGGTCTGCCTGGTACAAAATCTCCTGCAGTCGCAGCTTTATATCCCGCCCGGTAGAGCAATTCCTAACCGGTATCGCTTGAGTACCGAGACCATCCTGTAAGCTGCAGAACTTCCCGAGGAAATAGTTGCTCGACCGCCACATACCTCTCGAAGCTGACAAGGCGGCCAAGGTTCCATTATTCAGGATCGAGTTATCCCATCTGCTAGTTGTATTGAATCCGCGAAGTACGAAGGGTTTTCCTTCTTGCAATTTGCGATTCAGCCACTCATGGGCCTGGTCGTCCGACAAGCTCTCGATATCCTGGACTGTGTACTCGGAAAATGGGACAAACGGTTCTCCTGCTCTCAGGAGAGCCTGTGCGGACGTTATCTCCGTAATCGGTAGGTAAGACATATAGAGTACTTTATAGAAGAAGCATTGCAATGCGCGTTATGCAAAGTAAAGCACTAGCGGTATTGGCTAGAGACCCTTATCTGGTTCAAATCAATTGTCTCGGAATCCAGCCTGGAGCATTTGACAGACCGCCACGTGATACTCCACTGCAGGGTGAATCTAACCGTTTGTGGAAGTGTCTCATCCAAGCCTGGAGCCCGCGATCCTAGCAGTGTGTCTCGATGTATAAAACGCCCCCATAGTTTCAGCTTAGATCGAGACTGGACTGCCCGAGTGACTTTAGTTCTTTCTGAAGAGAGATTGATCGTCCGATGAGAGTCAATACAGATATATGGTCATGGGTCAAACAAGTACAGACTTGGCGCATGCGTTGTCTTGTTTCCGAGGTGTACATAGCACGGAACTTGGGCTATCTCTCAACCTCACCTGTCGGCCTGACGGTCACTCTCTTTAACCTCATCATTTGATCATCTGAACTAGCAGGATACGAGAGCAATAAGGTAGCTAGAATCGATTTTCGATGGCATCGCCTCCACGGTCACGTGTCATGATGCCTCAGGAATGAGATGCCGATGCCGATGCCGAGAGACCGGCGTCGGCGACATGGGCTGCGAGATAAGATGCGTGGGGCAAATGAGCCTAATTTTGTGTTAACCTCCCCAGAGCCGTCATATTCCAGGGGCCCTGCCGATATGAAGCGCAGCTACGAGGTATGGCCAGTCAACTCCTCTTCTCGATTCAAATTTTCTTAAGCATTGCTAGAACGCTCTGAAACTCCTGGAGAGTCGCCGACGAAAAGCTCGGCCAAGAGCGCCCGCGCTGGTCCCGACAAACCAAGATGCAGCGACCCCGACTGACAACCAAGCATTGCGGGGCATGCCTAGCTTGGTTGGAATGGAAGACTGGTTGCGGAAATTAGGGCACTCGGTAAGGACTGTTCAAAGCTAGCATCTCATCACGCCACAATGGTTTCTTCTTACATGACAGTTGTTAGGACAATGATGTGAACGGCCTCAACATCGTTCATGTCGCCGGTACCAAGGGGAAAGGCAGCACCTGTGCATTCACCCGCTCCTTCCTTCGCACCCATGGGTTGCGCACCGGATTCCCTCAGAAGGTCGGGCTTTATACTTCGCCTGATTTGCAGTGCATCCGCGAAAGGATTCAGATCAACGAGCAGCCGATACCGGAGGAGCTATTCACTCGTTACTTCTTCGAAGTATGGGAAAGGCTGGAGGCCCCTAGTCTAGAACCTAGTGTCCTTCCTGCCAGACAGCCGCGCTATCTTCAGCTTCTCGCCCTTCTTGCGTTTCACACATTTATCAGAGAGAATGTCGATGCGGCTATATTCGAAACGCACCACGGCGGAGAATATGACGCCACAAATGTTATCCAGAAGCCGGCGGTGACAGCTATCACCGCTCTCGGTATGGATCACGTTGCGCAGCTTGGCCCCACGATTGAGAACGTTGCTTGGCATAAATCCGGGATCTTCAAGCCCGGCGCACCTGCGTTCTCAGTCTCGCAGGAGGAAGATCCCGCCGAGGTGCTGCGCCTTCGAGCTGCTGAGAGGCGGACCACTTTGACATTTGTCTCGACGAATGACTCGCTTCCGGTCAATGATAAGACTCTTAGTATCCCTGTGCAGCGCCTGAACTGTTCTCTGGCTCTTGAGCTAACTAGAGCCTGGCTAAAAATCAAAGCGCCAGAGCATACATTGGACGAGTCAGACATTGCCGGTGCTGTGGAAAATTTCAAATGGGCTGGTAGGTTTGAGATCATCGAGGATGGCGAATCTCGGTGGTTCATAGATGGGGCTCATAACACGTTGAGTCTCGGACAAGCGGCTGCATGGTTTGTCTCAAACACCAACACGCCCGCAAAAGATCTGTAAGTCGGACTACTTCTCGTAGTCGGACAAAGTAAGCTGACTCCAGAACCAGATGCCGCATTCTGATTTTCAGTCACTTCTCAGAGGAGCGTGACGGGGTTGACCTTGTCGAGTGTCTGGCGAAGGCATTTGCGGAATTGCGGGCTATGCCGGAATATGTCATATTTACCACGTACGAAGAGAGGGAAGATGGATCCACCAGAATAGGCGAGTACCGCAACAACTTCGCTGGCTGATCCAGAGCTGACATCCATGATAGATAAAACCCTCAAAATCCCGGAGACCCCATTCCCAGATATGTGCTCCATATATACTTCGTCGTGGAGACAGCGCGATGCCAAGGCCTCAGTCTCGAGTGAAGCAACTATCGAGGGCGCGATCAAACTGGCCAACAGAATCGGCGCTGCACAAGGCGGTGCTCAGATCCTCGTGACTGGCAGTCTTCATCTGGCTGGAGGTGCTCTCAGCATCTTACGGCCTCAAGTATAACTCTGCTTATGCTGCTCTCTGTCGAAAAAGACGCGATAGACCATTGTAGATATTTATTTACCATTAGATAGATCACTGCCAATAGCCACTGCATTTAGTAATTGAGCAGCTTTTTGCGCCAGAAGATTCTTAGAGTTTAGCTTCCCTAATCTTTTCAAATAATCTGGCCTTCGTGATGTAGGATCGATAGGTTGAAGTCATCTAGTTCTAGCTATTAATACCATGAGATCGATATATTCAGCGTGGCTTCGAGACATGCGGAAGATGTCGCCAATAAGACCTGTCTAAGCCTAACCAAGCTTCGCTTGCATGGCGCCATAACCCTGGGCGGGAGCATCGGAGGAAGCTTGATTCGCTGTTTGTTAATCATCGCAGGCTTAGTCATTTTCAGACATTGAAAGGTACTTAGCCCACCATACTTGCCCACCTAGACAATAATGCACCTTTCCTGAAGCATTCACTCGGGACAGCGACCAGTGCTGACACACCTGATCAAAGGCACGCGGGGCGCGCTCGGCCTAAAAACCAAGCACTTTGCCATCAACCAGCGGTCAGGCTTTGATGCCTTCAAAGACGACCCTGGCCCTGTCCTGATCCAGAGTTACTCGATCCAGTGACACTTCGTGTTTCGAAACGGCTAGGTGCGTGGCCTGCACTGTACTGCACCCCTGCAAGCCTCCCGCGGAGCCTTTGTTGGATAAAGAACTGTTCTGAGACCCGCTTCCATAACCTTGGATCGGCCTCGATGAGTCTGTGGCCTGTCATTGTGGATTCTTTGATGGGGCCCCGGATTTGGGTTTGCACGTGAGGCTGGATCAATGAACCAGAGACGAGAGGGTTGTCCGAACGAGGAACGTCAAAAGAGGTAGATCTAGAGACTGGAATTCCGAAGCATACGGCAATCCTGATAGTAGATCAAATGATTAGCCAGTCATGGAAGAGACGGAAGAGCATAAATTTAGGAAGACTTGAGCTCGAAAATTAGCTGATCGTAACCGTGTCGCGTTGAAGCAGTTGTGTATCCCCGTGGGGTCATTCGTTCAGGCGGGGGGGAGCCACCGAATCAGTGGTCTAGTCTTTCGGGGTCACACCAGTTCCTGTGCAAGGCTCGCATCAGGATTGGTGGAAGTAAAAGATAGAGACCTTGCTGGTCAGATTCCGATCTTGTGGTTTGTTAGAAATCTGGTCCACCGCCAGTCTCTGGTATGCAAGACTCGAGTGTCGTCTTTCGTGTCACAACGGGAGGCGGCCATCGTCCTCGCATGGCGAATAGAGATTGAGGATTTGCGCAAAGAATACTGTAGTGAGGATCTGAGACCATTGATCCATAAAGAAAGCAAAACGGAGAGACGAATACTATGTTTTGGTACGTTCTCAAAGCGACAGTTCTTAGCAAAGAGGAGGCCTCATGGTGGCAAGCCGTACGTTGACGTAGTTTCAAAGCAGAGTCATTGGGTCGGACTTTGTGTTTCTTGTGTTTCTTGTGGTGAGTGTCTACAGCATAGTACTGGTACAGTACTTTCTCCGCCAGATAAAGCATGTCACCCCCCACAGACACCCGGCTGACACTGCCAAGTATCTACTAGGTATCTTCCGACTGGTAACCGTGATCTGGAACCATTGTCCGAGAGACCTGGGGAAGCCGGGGTGGGTTGATCTTTCATGTCAGATCGACATCACTTGACTTGAATGTTCTGAGAATCTGTCTATACTCTGTTTTGCCTTTGAGAAGTCTTGTATCTGCCCAACATATCCGGTTCAATGGAGATGAAGACAGTGTCTCTTTCTTCTATAGGTGCACTATCAGACACAGAACCCTTAGCAGGGTCACTGGAAGTAGATCATACCACTGCATCACTATCAGGAATTCTAGACTGAGTGGTAAAGTTGTTAGCCCCGTGGTTTCTTCCCCGCGAGGGGAGGGGGTGTTTAGCAGCTGCAGTGAATGTAACCAACCCGCCGGGGTCGGATCCGCCCTCTCACCATTTGCACTCTTTGTCCGTCCCTCTACCATCTTGTCTCGCCTTCCCATTTCTTTCCTTTCCTTACTTCTTCCTCTCTTCCTCTTCTTTCTCTTCTTCTTCCTCTTCTCATCATCTCTCCCATCCCCCCTCCAACCATTCCTTTCTCTGTCTTCCTTCCTTCCTTTCTTCTTCTTCTTCTTCTTCTTCTTCTCTCTTAAGTAGTTCTCTCCTTTCTATCTGTCCACATTCTACGTATCAGCTGTCTTCATCCAACCTTAGCCCTGTAACTCAAAACACTCGCACGTCTGTGTTAGTCCTGACCAACACTATGGCAAAGGAGGAAGGGTCTCAGATTCAGTCGGTCGACGCGGAGGTTGACCAGAGGTAGGTGTTCCTGTATCCCGGCTGACTTCTTGTATCATCCCCATGCTAACTGAGATGTACAGCCTTGGTACCGAGCCTGAAGCAATGGAGAAGGGCACTGCTGAGCACATCAATCTGAACAACAATGTCACTGCCAAGTAAGTTGTCCTGATATTTTGTGGTACTACGACCCACACTGCAGCTGCTAACTTGGAACTAGGATCAAGAATCCCCTTGCCGACTTGACTCCTGCTCAAGTGATTCATGATGTTGAACAGTTTGCTGAAGAGTTTCAGTTGACTGAGATTCTTTCTAATCTGAGAAAGGGTGCTCTCGTGGCACGCGACCCTCAGATGTATGCTTCTGTGCCTGATATGACTGATGAGGAGATTACTGCCGTCCGCAACGAGACAGCACACAAGTGGAGACAGCCTCGTGCTTTGTACTTCAGCATCGTTCTCTGCTCCATTGGAGCTGCTGTTCAGTAAGCAATCGCATCCCACAGAAACACTTCCCACCCAAGATTGAAGTTCAAATGACTAACACACGAATTCAGGGGATGGGACCAAACTGGTAGTAATGGTAAGTAACGGCTATAGATCACATATTCTCTATCAGCCTATGACTGACTGGTCGGCTCTTCCAAGGTGCCAATCTCTCCTTCCCCGTTGCTTTGGGGATTCCGGAGAAGGGTCCCGATGCCGCTAGAAACCAGTGGCTTGTTGGTCTCATCAATGCGTATGTCGCCCTTGGCCCTTCTGCGCTTGCTACTATAAACAAAAGCCAAGAAGCTTACCTACCTCTCAAATAGAGCTCCGTTCATTTCCAGTGCCTTTCTCGGTTGCTGGCTGTCTGACCCTGCCAACAAGTATCTTGGTCGCCGTGGCGCCATCTTCATTTCTGCTATTTTCTGTCTTCTTTCCCCGATCGGGTCAGCCTGTGCTCAGACCTGGCCCCAGCTTTTCGTTACCCGTCTCTTGCTGGGGCTGGGTATGGGACTCAAAGCGGCCACTATTCCCGTGTTCTGTGCTGAAAACACCCCGGCTACTATCCGTGGCGGTCTTGTGATGTGCTGGCAGCTATGGACAGCTTTCGGTATTCTCCTTGGTTGCTCGGCAAACCTTGCTGTCAAGAACACAGGCGATATCTCGTGGAGACTTCAGCTGGGCTCTGCTTTTATCCCAGCCGTACCTTTGCTTCTCGGGGTTTATTTCTGTCCAGAATCCCCTCGTTGGTACATCAAGAAGGGCAAGCTTCGCAACGCATATCAGTCTCTGCGTCGTTTGCGCAATACCGATTTGCAGGCTGCACGCGATCTGTACTACATCTATGCTCAGATCAAGATCGAGCAGGACATTTCTGGTACGGGTAATTACATCAATCGTTTCGGAGAACTGTTCACTATTCCCCGGATTCGGCGTGCCACCCTTGCTTGTTTCACAGTAATGATCGCACAGCAGATGTGTGGTATCAACATTGTCGCCTTCTATTCGTCTACTGTCTTCCAACAGGCAGGGGCCAGTGTTACCGGGGCTCTTTTTGCCTCCTGGGGATTTGGTCTTGTGAACTTCCTTTTCGCCTTTCCCGCTGTGTCCACTATCGATACTTTCGGTCGTAGAACTTTGTTGCTCTTCACCTTCCCAAACATGGCCTGGACCTTGCTGGCTGCCGGCTTCTGCTTCTACATCCCGGAAGAGTCTACTGCTCACCTGGCATGTATTGCGCTTTTTGTCTTCATCTTCGCTGCATTCTATTCTCCCGGGGAGGGTCCTGTTCCGTTCACCTACTCCGCCGAAGTTTTTCCACTGTCCCATAGAGGTAAGTCTTCAACAATATATACATGGTCATATATGCTTACTCCTTCTCAGAGATTGGAATGTCCTGGGGTGTGGCAATCAATATGGGCTGGGCTTCGGTCCTCTCCATCACCTTCCCGCGCATGCTTGCAGTGATGACCCCAACTGGTGCCTTCGGGTTCTACGCGTAAGTCGCTCCGTGCACGGTTCAAGAACCTAGCCTTTAATTCATTACATCTCAGGGCCCTTAATATCACTGCGTTTGTTATGATCTTCTTCTGGGTCCCCGAGACCAAGCAGCGGACTCTCGAAGAGCTTGACTACATCTTCGGAGTACCCACAGCCATGCACATGCGCTATCAATTGTTCCAGGTGCTCCCATGGTGGATTAATCGCTACATCTTCCGTCGTCGCAGTGCTCACCTTGAGCCTCTGTACAAGCTCGACCACCTCGCGACCAGCAGCTAGGTTGCCAAAGAACGATTTACAGCAGACCTGTCGACGCATCTCGCATTCATCCTGCTCGATCGAATCCCCTGCAGCGCATTTCCTTTGTTAAGATGGAAACCCTCGGTGGTTGTAATATTTACTTCCGGAGTCTACGTGGCATAAATGTGTCAGACTGAATCTGGAGGGAAATATCACTTTTACCATTATGAGAGGTCATGTAATACGTTAGTTAAAAATGGATGACTATCTATGATTAGTCAATCTGACTTCGTAAAAGTGAGACTCCAGAGCCATCCGTACAGTTTATAGGTAATTATGATCATAACCGCATGCTCGAGATATCATTATAGACTTCCGAGTATGCGGTGGTTCACGTGAGTTCGAGAAGTTGTTCGGGTCTTCTACTTTAACATCAAGGTGGGATCATTTCTATGCGTTATATTCACACTTTCCTCTCGAGAAGGGATCATGAATGACATACGGCTCTGTATGAGAGAAGACGGATTTTTACGAGGCAGATGCAGGGAGTCAAAATCCTCGGAAGAGAATTCCGGCGGGGAGCGGATCCCCCTCCCTCTCGGAAAACACCCCTTACTTGTTGACCCTCTCATGTGGTCGTCCGATATTCGGCGCACCACAAGATGAACATCGGGAAAAGTGCCAACTATATGAGCTCTATTATTTTGTGATCCAATGAGCCACTCAATCTAGATGCTAAGTAAATGACCAACGACATTATCAAGGTCGAATTCAAATCCGAAATCAAAACATCCTCCTATATGCGGACCGACCCAAGCCGATACCCCCTCCACACGTCGAACCCCACCGACTCATAGAACCCCTCCAGCACCACCCAGTCGACCATCACCCCCTGCACCCCGCGGCTCCGAAGATCCGCCAGCGCATGGGCCAACATCGCCACCCCGACGCCCTTACCCCGATGTTCCCGGTCCACGCCCACACACCCGATCAACCCGGTGCGGGAGTCTGCGCCCCCGCAGACGGGCGGCATTGCCCATTGAGTCTGCAGAAAAGGTGAGGACGGGTCGAGCATCAGCGTCCAGCCGATCTGGTGGCCCTGCGGGCTGAAGACGGTCATGATGCTGTCCGGGTGGGTTTGCGGGTGGAGCGTGATGTAGGTTTGGACCCAGGCCTGTGTATAATTCAATACGGTACGGGTTAGTCACGGTTGTGTTGGTTTTGACTTGACAGGGGAGTGAAGAAAGGGGGTTCTTGAACCTGGTTGTGGGAGAAGTTCTTCCGCTGTCCGGCGATGCATTCCTCATATTGAGCGGGTTGGAGCGCGGCGAAGGTGTAGCCCTGGCTTGTGGCTTTGCGGGTGTGTCTCTCCTCGAGTTGGAAGTCGGTGATGCTCCGGTAGAGGTCGACATGGCGCGGGGGCGGGGTCGTGAAGATGAAGCCCCGGTTCTCGAAGAATTTCGTGGCTGACGGTGCAAGGTCGTCGGGGAGGCCCGGCCAGAAGCGCGGGAATGAGCTGCTGAGGTCGAGGCGCGTGATCTGCTGGGTCGTCGTGTACCAGGCGATGGCTTCTTGGATGAGCGTGCTCCCGATGCCGTGGGACTGAGCGGCCGGGAGGACGGCGATCGCGGACAGGTAGGCGGATTTCTCCTCGTCGTTAGTGGTGGTGGTGCGGGAGTAGGTCAGGCAGAAGCCGACTATCGTCTTGCCGGTGCGGGCCAGGAAATGGTGGCCGTGGGGTTGGGGGAGGAGTTTTTGGAGGTTTTCGAGAGGCAGAAGGTAGGTGGGTAGGGAGGTGTTCCAGACGGTGTGCACTTGTTTGAGATCTTCGGGGTTGTCGAGGGGAGAGAGTTCGATGGATAATCGCGGCTCCTGGGTGCCCACTGGGAGTTTGCCGGTTGCCGTCGCGGCGCCGAATATCGTCGCTGCGGCGGCGGAGAAAGCCTCAAGGGTGGGCTCGTATGTGGTGATGTAGGTGCCAATGGTAGGATCGTCGACAAAGTCGTAGGGGTTGCAGGCCGCTATGCTTACTAGGGCTCGAGCACGGTGGGGCAGTTCTTGTCCCATTTTTCTTTGGAATGGCGATTCACGCGCGTTGATTGTGGTGAGGATTACGGCGTCAGCAGCCTCGACATTGCGCCACTCCTCCGCGGACAAGCCCGCTGCTCCGTAGCGGATCTCGGTGACAGTTGGGTTGTGGTTTCTCAACGCATCAAGATATACGGATCCGTTGTACGATCCCTTTCGACCAAGCCCTTCTCCATCTACTGCACCGCCAGCCGGAGTTTCGTCGCCAGGGAAGAGTAAAACGACCTTGCATGACCTTGAGACTGGTAGAGTCTTTGACGTGTCTCGAACGACGGTCACTGACTTTGCATAGGCAGCGTCGGCCAGCTCGCGATTTTGCAAGTCGATCTCACGGAACCTCGATTCAAAGGAGTCATCGGTGTGCAGCGCTTCCTCCCATCTTAGAGATTTCTGTTTCAGCTGGGTTACACGTCGGTACGCTTCTTCTACCCTAGTCATGGAGACTCGACCAGCTTCGATAGCCTCGCAGACACGGCGAATCGACGCAACTTGGACATCGTAAGTGTGGCAGATCATGATGCTATCGCTTCCAGCCGCAAGGGCAAGGACGGATCCTTCTTCAGTGCCATAAGTCGCACGGATCCCGTCCATCTCCAGACAATCCGTGATTATCATACCATCATACTTCATATCTTCCCGAAGGATGCTGAGCACATCTGGTGAGAGGGTGGCCGGCAGCTTGCCATCTCCCAGGCCGGGTAGCGAGATATGTGCGGTCATAACAGCCTCGATCCCCTCGGCTGTCGCGCGTCGAAATGGCACGAGCTCACATTGCTCCAGTTGCTTTCGTGTCTTGGAAATCACAGGCAACCCGTAGTGGGAGTCGGTGGCAGTATCTCCATGCCCGGGAAAGTGCTTCACGCAAGAGATGACACTGTGCTGGCGTTGACCCCGAGCGATAGCGCTTGCGAAACGGCCAACGAAGTCTGGGTCGTCGCCGGGACTGCGTACACCGATGACGGGATTCAATGGCTCGGAGTTGATGTCACAGACAGGACCATAGTTCATATTAATGCCGACATGTTTCAGCAACTGTCCTGTTGCCATTCCAACTTTGTATGCAAGATCGGTTGAGTTAGTAGCACCCAGAGCCATGGGCCCCGGGAGCTGGGAGGCCATTGGGGGTGAGATTCTGGTGACCCATCCATTCTCTTGGTCGATACCGATGAAGAGGGGATGAGTGTGACCAGCTAGTTGTGCTTCTCGTTGCAGAGCATCCGTCAGAGCCTTGTAGCGGGAGCTGTGGATTAGCCAGCAGGTTGCGACTAATAATTCAAGATTTCGGGCCTACCCGTAGTTGAGCGACACCGGTGATGTTTCTTTTGAAGAGGACGATGCCTCCAACTCCATATTCGTGGATCAAGGTCTTGATCTCGGCACTAGGTTCCAGACCATGGAAGCCGACCACAAATAGCTGGAGCTTGGTTAGTTGTTTTCCGGTTGGCTTGGAGGACAGCCTACCTGGCCCACTTTCTTCTGCAAATCTGCAGATGACATCTCGCTAGAAGATCGATTGGTGGAGTGTAATTGAAGGACCAGTAGGGTACTGAGCAAATAGCACTCCCAAAACAGGGGAACAAAAGGATAGGTAAGTTGTTGGGTAAAGTGGAATGAGGGGAAGAATTGATGGGCAGCCTTACGGAAATCGATTATCTTATCGATCTCATTTGCCAGCCGGTTCCAGCCTGAACCCCACCCGTCTGATGGTATGCGAAACATGCTTCTATACTTGAGGATTTGTCCAATCACTTTCTTAGGCGGCAGTATGAAGCTCTCGTCAATTGTCACTCTAGGAAGCCGTCAGAGCTTTTGTCTAGGGTAAGAATCCAATCATACATCGGTTTCAAAGACCAGTTACATAAGTTCTACGAGGATATAGAAACATGATCAGAGGGCAGCTCTCGAGTCAAGAGCTAGGATAGATCATGTCGGCCTTGTGCGTGTAACGCCTCGGTTCAGCAAGGCCACATGATTTCAAACAGAACTGCGAGTATGTAAACACCATGAATCCGTGTAGATTTCTTCATTCCTAGCCAATTCCATGAATCTCAAGGCATCGAGCTTTGCTTCTTTGAGCCAGTAATTCCATCAGTATTACGTCTTATATCAAACAGATCAAGGTCTACTTCTCTGATCGAAATAGCTTCAGAAGAACTGTGTAGCCTGATATTCACAGGAGACGACACTTACCCTATTGAGGTGGCTTACCAAAAAGGAATTTAGTTACGCCAGTTAGGCCGAGTCAATAATTCACCTAGTGAACACTTTCTGGGCACTATAAAATTGTCCTTATTCCGACACCCACCCCTACATCTCCCTCCAGAAACAATTCTGAAGGCAGACAGCCCAGTTATCGAACACCTGACTCTCTGTCGTTTTTCAACCAGCCGACAAGAATGGCTTCCTCCGATCAGGATCAGAAGCCTGTTGATGTCAAGGACGATGTTAAGCCGGAGCAGCCAGGAGATCTGTTGGCCAGCATCAAGAAGTAGGTACCTCTGTCACCCCGTCAGCAATTGACTCAGGAGATGAGTCTGATCAAATCAGGTACTACTCATCATCGGAGTTCTCGGATCTGGCCGTTCACACCCTTGATCAAGATTTCAAGGTCCATCGGGTAGTCGTCTGTGGGCAGTCCGAATATTTCTCCCGTCTCTTCCAGGGTACATGGCTGGTAGGTTCTCATGTGCCTGAGTAACAGCAATCAACACTCTAACTACTTTCAGGAAGCAAAGGAGAGCGAAATTCACCTCAAGGAAGACGATCCCCGCGCGATAGAAGCAATGTTTCAATTTATGTACGGATTCGAATACGACAGCAGCGGCAGTGACCAAGGCCGCACATCACCCATGCTGTTGAATGTCAAGGTCTATCAGGTCGCGGAGAAATACCAAGTTCGCCAGCTTAAGGAGCGCGCAAGGGAGAAGTTCAAGTCTATCGTGGAGGCGTGCTGGCAGATGGACGACTTTCCCGTTGCCATCGAAGAGGCATACAAACGTACCACGAAGGAGGACAGGGGTCTCCGGGACATTCTTGTGAGGACTTCTCAGAAACACATCGAGGACCTGGAAGCTAGCGAGGATTTCCGACTTGTTCTTGGGGGCACTGCTGGCTTTGCTGCGGATCTTATCCAGGTATTGGTCCAGGATGACGTCAAGAAACCAGGAATAAAGCTCAAGTGCAACAAATGCCTGGTCGACTATTATTTGGAGACGGCTTACGCAAAAGCCACTCAGTACTGTCCATTTTGTGGCGCTCGGTAGAATCTCGCACCATGTTCGTGCAGTGAGGTTTCTTTGGACTGCTTGGATCTTATCTTGTTGACCTTGTCTTGAACTGACAAAAAGAGCCGGGTGTTTCAATGATGGTATCATTTCATCAAAAGTTCCATTGCTGCAGAGGACAGTCAAAATAAAACATACAGATAAAATTGGTGGTAATACAACACCTAGACTGAAGCCTTTCAAGCCCTGGACAGCACACTTCCCTTTGTCTTTTCTTTCTTGGAAGTCTTCTCCGAGGCAACTCAAGATGTTGCATCAACCAGTATCGAAGGTGGTATAGTTGACATCCGAGATATTTTACCCTCTTTACCAGAAAAACTTACTACCAGACCGGTGCTCTATACTATATCGAGCGGAGCACTTGAGGACAAGCTGGCGCATACTCTAGCCCGGTGACGGCACAGAGTCCGGACAAGCTCACTAGACCTTGAATCCATGCCAGTGAGGTCAAATCATCCTCTTCAACAAATTTTGTTGTTCTTTTTCGAATCAAGTTGAGCGAGTGGTAATGTCTAGGCAGTTAACTTAAAACGGGGCTTAACGGCGATAAGAGACCTCTTTCTCCGATCCTTATACTCCACCTCCAAGCACCTTTTCACCTGAAGGATCCCCCTACATGGCACTAGCCACGGTTTAAGAACTAGACTTCATACTTAGACTGGCCCGTACTGGCCCATGTTTGCCAGTCACAGCGACCGTCCTTCACCACCCGGACTTACTCGGTTCGGACTTAGCACCATGATGTAGTATTTGACCACGATAGAACCCACTTCAACAAGCCAAACTCGTTGCTGCACGCACAACTTTCCCATCCACGACTAAGTAATAACACAAATATCGCAACCATGATCCCACTAATCACCCTCGAAGAACACTACATCTCGCGCCAAGTGAGCGAAGCCAGCCCCGCAGCAAAAGCCCACTACGCCGCGTTCCCGCCGCACATCCGCGGGAAGCTGGAGTCGCTGGGCGCCGGGCGCATCCAAGACCTCGACGCCGGCAACGTCTCCCTCCAAGTGCTCTCGCACGGGCCCGGCGACATCAGCGCCGCGCTCTGCACCGCCGTGAACGACGACCTGGCCGCCGCCATCAGGAGCCACCCGACCCGACTCGCCGGGTTCGCGATGCTGCCGATGAGCGAGCCCGCCGCCGCCGCGGCGGAGCTGGGGCGTTGCGTGAACGAGCTGGGGTTCGTGGGGGCGCTGATCGAGAACCACACCAACGGACAATTCTACGACGACGAGCGCTTCTGGCCGGTCTTCGCGGAGGCGCAGGCGCTCGACGTGCCGCTCTACCTCCATCCGACCTTCGCCGCCGACTCCATGATGGAGTATCACCGGGGCAACTATGACGAGTCGGTCGCGCTGGCGCTGAGCGCCTACGGCTGGGCCTGGCACACGGAGACGGGCCTGCATGTCCTCCGGCTCTACGCCAGTGGGGTCTTTGATCGGTATCCGCGGTTGAAGGTCGTCATCGGCCATATGGGCGAGATGCTGCCCTTCCAGCTCGAGCGCGTGTTCACGGTGGCGGAGAGGTGGGGCAGGGAGAGGAGCTTCCGCGAGGTCTGGAGGGACAACATCTGGGTCACGACGAGTGGCATGTTCTCGTTGGCGCCGTTGGCGTGTCTCCTGCAGACGACAGCGATTGAGCATGTGCTGTACAGCGTTGACTATCCCTTCTCGACGAATGAGAGAGGTCTGGCGTTTTTTAAGGAGATTGAGGACAGTGGTCTCATCGCGGGCGAGGACCTGGAGTTGTTTGCCTATCGAAATGCGGAGAACCTACTGGGGGTTAAAGTAAGGACGTCGTGACTGTTAGTTGAGTGGTTGGTTGGTTGGTGTACTCATACGTCTAAGTGCTAAGGCAGTTCGGCGGCAGCTCTCGTTGCGGTGGCCCTACGTGTCTTGCCTTCTCTCCGTTTATGCGTAATGTTGAACAGGGCTATACGTCCTTCTTACATGTAAAATCAATCTAGTTTGTCTGCTGGTATGTATGCGTCACTAGCCTAGACTTGCGTTCCTGCGGGATTGCGTTGTACAGTACATAAGTAAGTTAATTGGACTTCCTGGTGCTATTCTTCATGCAAAGCAGCTTTCTATACTGGTTTCTGCTGTGGCCTGTGATACTGTTTGTATTACCCCTCATTCTCAGGTCTTCCAGCATACAAATATTCGTTCCATACCAATGAACTCTACGCGAAGTGTGTCTGTACCAAGTGTGCAGTGTGTACCAATACTCTGGAATCTACTCAACGCGGCCCATCATTACCAGCTCGCCCTTCTATCGAACTTCCTTCTGCTTCTCCCACGACCTCCGCATTTATACTGGCAGGTCCCTTGACCATCTTTCCAGTCTTCCGCCCTGCCCCTCCCAAGTCCGAACCCGGAGCAACAGCAGTGTGCTCCTCCACGAATCGCCTCCCATCCTCCCTCCCCTTCTCCACATCCACGAACATGATTGCCACCATCGCTGCCGCACAAATCGCGAATAAAAACGGGAACCCCATCCAGTTGTTCTGGGTGTCATTGATGATGGCCTGGACGACATTCGGGCCGATAATAGAGGACTAGATGCCATGCCATGAAAGATCCAGTCATCAGTAATATGTTGTGGGTGGCTCTTGGGAGGGGAGCTAGGATGATGGTTCTTACCGCGCGATTGGTGATCCCGAAGAGAGCGAAAAACATGTTGTCGTAGCCGGGCGGCATGAGTTCGCTGATCATGGTTTGGGCATACTGAAGGAATGAATATGTAAGTGGGCTTCGTCTTCTTCGTTGATTCTATCGCAGAAACGGAACATTCGGGGCTTCTAGGACAGGGGCAGAGGGAGCTTACGGCGTAGTATGGGGCTTGAAACAGGCCGAAGATGACATTGTAGAGATAGAACTCCCACTGAAGGTATAGGAGCGTCTTGTTAGTGTTCTTTTTGCTTTGAAGAAAAGCTTCTGGGAGTGGAACATACCCGGTGATGATATCCAATGCGCTTGGTCCATAGACCCAGCATTCCCCAGAAGGGAATGAGAACAGTAAAGAAGTTTGTGATGAGGAACATGGGTTTTGTGCGGATCTTGAAGTAGTTTTGGACGTACCAGAAGCCGAATGTGGAGGCTATAGAGCATGCAGCTTGGGCTATGCCCAGGTATGTAACTTGGATGAAGGAGAATGCCACGAAGTCATTTTGAATGATCGAGACTAGGGTGCCTATAGAGAAAAATTCAGCAAGCAGAAACTAGGCAGACTGGATTTTACTAACCCGTGGTGTTGAGGCCATCTGCGAGGAGAAAGTATGCCACGAAGTAGAGAAAGGTCTGCGGCAAGGACCGGACCTTACGCAGCGCAAGCCAGATTTGCTTGAAACCAATAGTCGCGTAGCTTGATCCTTCAGGGATCCTAGGGCCGGGGCGTTTCTGCTGGAAGAGAAACCACCAAATTCCCAGAATCACCCAGTCTGGCTTGATCAGCATCCGCCTACAAACGCGATGGGTAGGAGACCAACATGAGTTTGTCAAGCAAAGCGCAAGGTTGTTCGAGAAAGAATGATTTTGCAGAGGCAAAAGTACGCTCAAATTCAATACCAATACTGCCAAGTATCCGATGTTGCTGTGTGCAGTCGAAACGTTGCTATTATCTGTTAGCTGCCAACTCAGTAATACAAAGAGCGTCCATACCTGATGTGATTCCGCTCCAGTGACTCAATTGCGTCGTATTCCCTTTGGCTGATTTTCTCCTCCTGCAAGTCCTGGCGGGCTCTTTGGACATGCGGCATATGGCGCGCGAGCCTCGGAAACACGGCTGCATAGAAGACTAGTGTTGCGCCATATGCGACGTACGAGATCACGTAAAGGCCCATCGCTGTAGGCCATTGATCAGAGTGCCGGATGGACATCATAGCGTACTGCATGGCCCAGCAAATCACGGTCAAGACTAAAAGCAACCAGCGACCGAAGGAGCCGTAGTCCGCTGCGCTGCCGAGCCAGACAAATGTCACAGTCATGAACGTGAAGCTCAGCCCGTTGGCAATCAGAACAACAGAGGAGACAGAACGAGTTCCCCCGGCCCATGGAACGACACAATGTGAGGTATCTGTGCATGGCTTGCGAGGGTTGGTGTCTGGCTGCCACCCAGCACCATTGAGCGCCCATTGAAAGCTGGTGGAAACATGATATTAGCTCAAGATTTTGGGGGCATGATCAGCCTAGCAGGATGGGGTAAACAAACAGTGTTTGAGTGTAAGAGCCAGGGCCAACTCCGTTATCGCCTGGTATGCGAGCTGTTAGTGATGGGTTGCTGCGTATGGCGATGGAGACGATTTACCATTGTAGTACAGATAGTATGACCAGAGCTCTCTGCGAGTCGTTGTGGGCTGTTCGGACGTGTCTTCTGCTCCGAAGACATGTTCAATATTGGCTGTACTGTGAGATGAGTGCTCTGGAGATAAGGGCGTAGTCGCCTCGTGGTCAGTATGCTTGTTGGTGGAGCTGGGATCGCGCTCGGCGCTGCTCTCGTTTCTAGCGTCCGTCAAAGAGACTCGTGAACTTATGCGGTGCGTCGAGCGTGTCATCTTGAGCTTGTGTTCTGATATAACAGTATGCTTAAGCTGTCCCTAATTGATCATTGATGTGGAGCATTGAGATAAGGAGAGGGAAGGGATGAGGAATGCCGAACAAGGATGCACGACCGGCAGGTATTGATTGATTGTGATTCAACCCCGCAGAGACGCCTCGGGCAATCCTAGCTCGTCGCCTGCAGTTGACTTATCTTGGTTGCTGGAAACCGATCTGAAACTGATTGTATACCAAATAATAATATGTGATTTATTCCCAACATATTTATTTTCTGGAGGCAAAATGGAGAAGCGAGAGGTAAGTATAAACTACTAGTTATACAAGCAAGCTTTCATAGCCGATTCAATCACACATCACAAGACGACTCTGTTCCTGCTCTGCTCTGCTAGTGACTCTGCTTACCTTTTTAGGTCTACCCTTTTTGACCTGTGAAATCCATGAGAAGAACTTAAAATCAATTAGAATATTTATACTTGTCAATGATTAAAGAAGTAAATGAGGAATTGATTCGGTTACATGAGGCTATTGGAGGAACTAGCTAAAAACTGGCGACCCAAGCAGGAGGACCTTTGTCAGTCAGATTAACAACCTTGTTCGCTAGATGCAGCTTGTAGAAATACTCTCTGTGTGTAGAAGTAGCCACCCAAGCCCTTTGCTGTAGTTCCTGGCCTTCGATCACCAAATGAAGCTCTTGGAAAGTTGTAATTCAGCTGGTCAGGGAGGGAGGGCCTAATTAGGATCCATATATGTCACATAGACTATTGACTGCCAAGTTACACATTACCCAGGACCTGTCTCATTGACTTCTCCCCAGCCTGCTGCCCCTTCCTCCGATCAACAGCCTCCCTCCACCTCACCCCAAACACGGCCGTCAACCACACCGCACCACCCGCACCAACCAAGAACAGAGCGGAGATCGTGTTGAACCAGCCGGCCCCAACCACCTTGATGGCCGGCATCGCCACCCCCGTCCCCAGCGCCGCAAACACATACCGAAAGGCATAGTTCGCCCCAACCACCTCCGCACTCCGCCCTTGCTCCTGCATCACGTCCAAACAGTACGTATTCAAGCTGGGGAAACAGAAGATCTGTGCGACGCCTTGAACGAACATAAGAACTACTGGAAGCGGGATGCCGCCGACGCCGGCGTCCACCGTCCACCCATAGATCAACACGCAGGCAGGACTGGCGATGCAGATGAAGGGCAGGCAGGAGCAGAGCCGGTCCTCGGGGATACGCTGCCCTTGCCTCCGGCGGATGTAGTAGCGGGCGATGCGGTCAGTGTAGTGGCCGCTGAAAAAGGTCCCCGTCAGGTAGCCCAAGCCGGCAGGGAGGTACAACAGCCCGGCTTCGATGGGGCTGGTCAGGTGGAAGCGTGGGTTGAGGGTATGGCGGATCGGAGTCAGAAGGGCGTATTCATTCCACACCAGAGCACCTGCCGCGAGGCCGGTGCAGAGTATGTTTGGGTACGCGATTATTAGGTGGAGGATGCGGAAGGGCGAAGTTTGATGCCAGAGCTGTTGGGCTTGAGTGCGGAACGGTTGGCCGCGGAGAGAGAGGCTGGTTCTGTGGGCGATTGTTTCTGGGAGGATAGTTATGATTAGGACGGTTGCGCAGAGGCTGAGGGCGGAGAGGAGATAGAAGATTGTGCGCCAGGGGCGGAAGGTCATGATTATGCCCTGTGTGAAAGAGAGATTGTGTTAAAGAATGGTTTCTCACTTTGAAAGGCGCAAGTCGGTTGCCACTTACACCGAGGAAAGGACCCAGAGCAGGTCCGGTGAGGCTTCCAGAGAGTACCCAGCCAAGTGCGGAGGCTCGGGCTGTTGGTTCGTATATATCTCCGACAATGGCGTTGCCAATAACGAGGAAAGAGGTGCCTTGTAATGCGGCACATCCTCGGAAGATAAAGTAGGATACTAGGTTTGGGGCGAAGGCAGAGGCAACAGTGAACGCGCAGAAGAGGATTGAGCTTGTGATAAGAAGCTGCGCTCGTTAGCACATAAGTCAAAATCGTCTCAATTGAACTTACAGGCCGGCGACCCCAGACTTGGCTTGCAGAGCCCCAAATAAGGGCGGAAACCCCCATACATCCGAGATAGAGAGAGTTGCTGGCGTATATGATATCCTGGGTGGTATCAAACGTTCTGGCGAGGTCCGCCACAGCCGTGAAAATGGCGGTGGATGAGATCGGGGCAAGAAATGCACAGTAAGAGAGCATGATAACGATTGAAACCCGCCGCGCAGGTGAAAGATGAACTACTTGGGGTACTCCGCTGTCATCTTCAACGCGGGACAACGGATGATCTGAAGTATGGCTGGAGGCCTGCACCAGGGCTTGAGATGATCCATGGTGTATTTCCCGATCTGATCGAGGCCTGCGAGACCTCTGACATTCATATGGATCGACCTCCAAGGACAATGATTGTAAGGAATCTTTGTCGAACATCTTACTATTTTGGAAGGAGAATGAAAGGAGCAGTGGGTGCAGCAATACATGTCATGAGTCGCCAATAAAGAACGGAATCTGCAAACACGCAGCAGTATGCTAAGGAGCGAATGGGTTCTGAGTTATAGATAACGTGAAATCAACTCAGGCATAGTCAAGGAAAGGACAGGACTGCAGAATACTCCCGTTCATCATGGATTGAAATTACCAAGTATGGATCTTGCAGCGACGAAGGAGCCATGAGCTTTTTAAACTAAGCGTAAACCTAAGGGTGATGATTCTTGTTTTCTTGCTAAGGGACGTTGCAAAAAGCATTGTTCCAACCTTCAGTGGGGCCTTTTTGTCTGGTTATCAGGATGAATGGGCCAGACCATTGAGTTGAACCAGCCCTAGGCAGCGCACGGGGCCGCATATCTCCCCGTTGGGAAACGGTCAGAGAAACTCTGCTTGATTTAGAACCTCATTCTGGATCGGATGGAAAGTTGGGCAATTGCGGATCCATTACAATCGTCGGCCTCAGGGACGCTCAAAGCACCGAATCAGTTATAATTCCAGGATCGAAGCCGGGCCTTATAGCTTGATATTAGCAGGAACTGAGGATCATGATCGACAAACAGACTGTAAATGGAGAGGATCTTAGACATATCCCTCACGTAGCATATGATGCCGGAGTGGCCATGCCTCATAGCTCAGGTAGTGCAACAATCTCGTCGTGGAAGCTCTCTTTGAGACATTTCTTCGCATTGATTGAGTAAGCCAATGTGCGAACACCCCCGTAACGAGCGAGTCATTTCACCAGGAAGGGGAAGTGATCCATCGTGTGGTGGGTAGGAGGATTCTCAGGAGAAGCATTTTCTCACGAGGACTTTCGGTCCTGACGATCATATCCACATCATCAGCACCTAGTCTCGATGTAGTTGATGGTGAAGGTAGCGTAGATTTCCTCGGAGATTAGGGACAGAAGAATCCAGCTTGTCGATCTTACCCGTACACCCGGATCGATCTTCTCTTCACGGGTCATAGCATTGATGATGTGAGAGGCAGAATACCATGATCATCTGAAAGTTCTTTTCTCAAGCTTTCTAAGACTTGTCATGTCTGTCAAAGCTTCCTCTTTTTTTTTGTCTCCCATGGCGCCATGAAACGATAAGGTACGGAGTAGTCCAAGCGCGTTCCTGAAAAAAGGGAGGATGGAGATCCACCAGCAGGCATTTTTACTGGCCTCTTTTTAAGGTTTTGCGGCCGGGCGTGTTGTCCCCCTTCCGTTTTCGGTTTGTTCCAGCCCGCATCCCCGCCTGTGCTCACATACTACCTAGTATGTACTGCATGTATGGTACGGTATTCCGTGCAATATAATTTCTGAATAGATGGAGCGAAATAGGCAGCACCTCAAGGGTGCGAAATGACTGAGTTTGATACCATACACCGGGTGGTGACAATGAACTTCGCTACGAAAGAAATGCCCTGGGTGAAGCATGATTCTACCGGGTCTCCCGTCAACTCTAAAGCATGCAGCGAGATCTGGAAAACACCTCAGATCCGATGTTCTTCAAGGGGCGTTACACAATATGGCGGAAGAGGGCCGGATAAAGCCGTCTTCGGTAACTCGGATGGCCATGCGGTATGACATCTTTCCTTCCTTGAGTTTCATCCATCCTCGATTTGCTTCTCCGCTCATTTTTACGAGGGCTTCGTAGGTGGCTAGCAGGGGTCGGAGGACACGAGCGAATGGTGGGACTTGGTGTACTAGATTTCTCCGCAACAAAGCTTAGAAGCGTGCAGGCGGGAAAGAAGTGGGAGGAGAACCACCATTCGTGAAGAGGGGGAAATCTTTAAGAGTTCAGCCACAAATGATCGCATGGCAGATGATGCGAATGTCTGAGTGGTTCTGTTCAGCAGGTCATGGATCCGATGGGAGGCGAAGATGGAACTCGACAACTGGAAAAGGCCCAAGCCACCCCAGATGACGTCGAGGCAACCACTGCACCGCACCGCATTTAACCCCTGCGCGCGGCTGGCTTGAATCGGGTTTAGCGGGTAGTCTTGAATCTCCCCCCTTCCCCTCCTGCTCTTCCAAACCCACTCAACTTCCCCATGACATCTTAACTTCTCTTCTTTTCAACTTTCTCATCCCCCACCTTATTGCTACTTTCTTGGCTACTTCCCCAAGACTTATATCCCCACTACTTACCTTGGTGGTTTTTTTTCTTTTCATCTGCATCCAATTTCATCCTCTTCTTCGTCTAAAAAATGAGCTCCAAGGATCCACATAGCGGCGTTCCCGCCTCGAGCAAAGGCTCGTGGACAAGTTTCCTTAAGGTATGAAGAAGACACTAGGCAGCTATCTGCTATCTCCGTCGTATGCCACTTCATTTTTCCGCCCTTGCCATCGCGACACGTTGTCAGAAACCAGTGACATTTCTAACCCATTAATTTCCGATTGTAGTCTATCGCTTCCTTCAATGGAGACCTTTCCTCCCTGACCGCACCCCCTTTCATCCTCTCCTCCACCTCCTTGACTGAGTATTCCGCCTACTGGGCCGAACACCCTGCTCTGTTCGTGGCTCCTGCCAAAGAAGCTGATCCCGAAAAGAGAGCATTGGCTGTCCTCAAGTGGTTCCTCAGCACCCTCCACCAACAATACTGCAGCCGCAGTGAGAAGCTCGGCAGTGAGAAGAAGCCTCTCAACCCCTTCCTCGGAGAGCTGTTCCTGGGCAAGTGGGACTCGGATGCAGAGGTTGGTGAGACCAGCCTGATCAGTGAGCAGGTCAGGTATGTAGCCATGTCCCCAAATCCCTTTTAAGCTATGTTGACCATCCACAGCCATCACCCCCCTGCCACTGCCTACGCCATCCGGAACGAGAAGCACGGTGTCGAAGTAAGCTATCAAACATTCACATCAATTCCACTAGTTACAAGTTCTAATCAGCGCCCTCCAGCTCCAAGGATACAATGCCCAGAAGGCATCCTTCTCTAGCACCATCCAGATCAAGCAGATCGGCCACGCTCTTCTGACTCTCACTCCCCCCGGGGCCGACAAGAACGATGCCTCCCAGCAGGAGAAATATCTCATCACTCTTCCCGCCCTGCATATCGAATCCTTGATCTACGGTACGCCGTTCGTCGAGCTTGAGAAGACAACCCGCATCGCCAGCAGCACGGGTTACATTGCCAAGATCGACTACTCTGGCAAGGGTTGGTTGAGCGGCAAGAAGAACACCTTCAGCGCCATTCTCTACAAGGAGAGCGAGGGTGAGAAGAAGCCCCTGTACACCATTGACGGTCAGTGGTCGGACTCGTTCGTCATCAAGGATTCCAGAAAGCACGAGGTGGATAGATTCTCTGTCAAGGAAACCCAGACCACCCCCTTGACCTTGGCACCACTTGACCAGCAAGACCTCTACGAGAGCCGGCGGGCCTGGCGAGACGTGGCGGCGGGCATTGAGCGAGGCGATATGGACGCTGTGTCCGTGTCTAAGTCCAAGATTGAGAATGCCCAGCGCGAGCTGCGCAAGGTTGAGAAGTCGGAGGGTCGTGAGTGGGAGCGTCGGTTCTTCAAGCGTGTCAACGAGAGCGAAGATGAAGCTTTCCAGCAGCTTGGCCCCAAGCTCGGCCTTACCTCCCTGGAGAGTGACAAGACAGGCGGTGTCTGGCGGTTTGACTCGGCCAAGGCAACCGACGCCAAGCCACCTTACCATGCAACTGGAGGCGAGGGCCTGGGTGTCACTGCATAAACAGGATACTGATTGCGAAGCTAATGGCTAGTTCTCCCTTGGTCTGCGTGGTCGGATAGGGTGGTGGAATTAGCAGGGATGATTACCATCATAGATTGCGTTCTCTTTCTATTTCTCTTCGTTTTCTCTTTCTTTCCTTGCTCTGTTTCGGGGGTTTTGGTATCTGTATATAGAACAACAGCGAGAACTGGATAGTTCCTAGACCAAGCCGGCAGATTACTCTTCTGCTTCTGGTTCGCGGGTCACGTCGACCATTTGAAGGACAGGTCTTCGTCAGAAAATGAATTGAATCCTGACATCCAGTCAACATTCAGTCGGCCACAACAGTGGTCCGAGCGATTATTGTTACCTGATTTTCCAGACTATTGATAAACAATACAGGCGAATTTCATGAAGCAAATCGACTCTTATAGTGAGTAAAGCTCTGTTCTCGCTAACAAATCTAAGAGAGAAACAATGAGAAACAGACTCATAACACAGAAACTAAGAAACAGATCATTACCCATAAGAATAGCACCACCGCACCTCAGGAGGCCTATACTATCCTTTCTTCATCCATCTCCACTTCATACCCCGACTTCTCCTCCACAAGTTTCCCGGGGAACCCCACGGCCCAAATGACCATCACGGACCACATCAAGACACTGTCAAAGACATACAGCGTCCACTCATGCGTTAGAATATACCCATGCATTCCCATGGCGTACTCGATGACACGAAAGATCGACCGGACCAGAATCAGCGCACTGACCGCATACAGCATATACATCAGGCGATCCAACGGGCGGCCGTACTGGCCCAGCCGGATCTGTTGCTGGCTGTGCTGCTGCTGCGCCTTCACCCGCCGGTGGAACACCAGCGCCACGACGATGAAGAACGAGAACATGATCACCTGGATCAGCAAGCCGACCACGGTGATCGCCTTGGCCGTCGTCTGGCCCGTCGACCGCACCATCAGCCCCACGCCGCTCCCCTGCACGATGAACGAGAGGATGTCACTGGCGACGAACAGCTTGGTGAGGTGCTTGGGCGGGATGAGCGAGACACTTTTGGCCTTGGGCTCGGTGGCGGCCGTGAGTCGCTGGGGAAGACTGCGGATGATGCGGCCGAGGGTCATGTAGACGGTTGCGGCGAACAGGACGGGGCCCAGCAGGATGAGCACGCTTTGGATCGCGTAGAGGCCGATCGAGGCCGTGTTGGAGTAGTTCAGGATCCGCACGATGTAGCCGACGATCTCGACTGTTGTGGGGGAAGCGTGTAAGCAACGGTTGTCATCGGAGGTTGTTGGATCGTATGGGATATGAGGGGGGTGGGAACTTACATATACCGCCGATGCTGAAGGAGATGTTGTACCATGCTCGAGTTTGGAAGAGCTTGAAGAACAGATAACAGGCCACCAGTCCAAACAGAACGGCGAAGATCGCGGCCGCGGGAATGGAAGGCAGGTATGTCCAGAGGTAATAGCCTCCTTCTAAGGGTTTGAGTTGTGCCATCTTGAGGGAAGGGGGGGGGCGGCTGATGCACACCCGGCTAACTATAGCGATCGGCTAGGTATGGTAGGTCCGAGTGATTGGGATGATAGAATTGGAGCATCTTGTCTCCTTTGCCGGCCATTGTGGTATATATATAGGGGACTGGAACCCCGCAAAAGCATTGCTGTTAATTTGGGCGCAAGTGGAAATTTCTGAGAGTTGAATACGCGTATAGAAAGGATGATAGAGTGGTTCGTCGGCCATTGAGCCTGGAGGAGACGGTTGGCTACCGATTATATTACCCGATCTGGTCTAAAATGATAGAGATGGTCTGTGCATACGCGTATTGCTCAAATAGGCAGGTCCCTGGAATGACTCGGGACCTCCAGGCTCGGACTCGGGATGCCCGTGCACAATCGCATCTTATTCTTTGCCCAGCTCAGCATCAAATTTCCTCTAGTAGGTCTCTACCTAATTTTCTGATGTGATAAAAATAGACCGCCTGCATCTTCATAGGTTCATTTCGGCTGCTGCCTGAGCCTCAACTTTTAAGCTTATCGGCAGACGTCGCCGGGTGCGATACTTTACCGTTGTTGGCCCACAACTCTTCCCCTCATGCCCACCCTTCCAATCATCCCCAGAGATACTGCATAGACAATCTGCCTATTCTGGATGATGTAAACCTGCGTCGGAAACATGACAGTCATGCCGCGTAGGACACACCGAAAATCGCGCAATGGCTGTCTTGAATGTAAAAGACGTCATATTAAAGTGAGTGCGAATCTCTTACAGAAACTTTCCACGGGCTTGCCACATCGGCTAAACGCTGCTCGTCTAGTGCGACGAGAAACATCCGCTCTGCGGCAACTGCCGCAGTTCGGAACGTGTCTGCGAATATGCGGATCGGTTCAGGAGCAGCACGACCAGATCCGAACGCAGTAATGCCTCGACTCCGACCAACGCCGGGCCAAGTCCAGGGGTTAATCCCTCGACACCACAGCCTCCTGGTGAGCAGCCTGCAGCAGGGCCGGTGACAACAACATGCTCTGAGGATCAGCCCGTCAACATGGTTCACGCCGAACTCCTCTTCAATCTCGTCACGGAGGCGATTCCCTCCCTCGGCGACATCGCCCTCTTCGGGAGCCTGTCCCCGGACCTCATGCGCGTCGGGATATCGACCCCTTACCTGATCAATGAACTGCTGGCCCTCAGCGCTCTGCACTCTAGTATAGTCCGGCCCGCTGAGCGCGAGCGGTACCGCCGCCACGCCGCCCAGCTCCAGACGCACGCGCTGGAGATCTTGGGGCAGGAGCGCCGGGACGTCACGCAGGAGACCTGTGTCCCGTTATTTATCTTCTCGTCCACGCTCGGCCTGCATATGCTCTGTGACACTGTGATCTACCGGGAGGAGTCCAGCTTCGATGCCTTCCTCGACCAATTCGTGCACTATCTTAAACTACACCGGGGCGTGCGGGTCATCACCTCGGAGGCGTGGGAGGCGTTGCGCGGGTCGATACTGCAGCCTGTGCTCCAGTACGGGCAGGAGAAGTTCGCGTGGGATGCGGACCTGGGGCCCGAGTGCCAGCGGATCATGGATCTGATCGAGGCGGCACGACTGGGCGAGAAGACCACCGCGGTCTATCGGCAGGCGGTGTGTGCGTTACAGGTCTCGATCCATGCGACGGGGGTGACAGACGCTGATCCGAGGGTCAAGTTCGTCGGCGGGATTACTGGGTGGCCCGTCATTGTGGGGGTGGAGTACATCGAGATGTTGGAGCTGCGCCGCCCAGAGGCACTGGTCATTTTGGCGTCCTACGGTGTGATTCTGCATCAGGCGCGGCATGTATGGGCGTTTGGCGATGGGGGTCGATTCCTGATTGAGACCATTCAGGCGCATCTAGGTTCCCAGTGGGAGACATGGCTGGAGTGGCCGAGTAGGGTACTAAGGGAGTCTGGGGGGTGAAAAGTACGATTTCTGCATTGTATATATGTCTAGTTGCCGTACCCCTTCTATGGTTGAGGAGGGACCAGGAGGTAATACCTCCCTCTTTTTGTTCGTGTTCATTTTTGATCGGGAGGATTCATTAGGTAGACCTGGGGTGGAAAGAAGGTACGTAGACTAGTCGCCAGCATAGTCTGTGATGAAGTGGTGACAAAAAAACAAACAATAAAAAAGAAAGTGGCGCTGCCCGGAATCGAACCGGGGCTGGCACGGCCACAACGTGACGTCATACCACTAGACCACAGCACCTGTTGTTGTGATAACGGGATCACTTTTATTCAATATATCCCTAAATTACTCGGAACCAAGAGCTCAACTCTCCCGCAATGTAGGTCATAAACCGGAAACACTAGTCATTATATACATCTAAGCTTCATCTTTTTATGGAAGGCTGTTTGGGTGGGCGCGCGTGCCCACTCGCTTACCGATTACGTTATATATAAAAGCTTAGTCGACTCATAACTGTGCATGTCTGAGCATGTAACATGATATATCAAGTAGTATATTCAGAAATTAGTCGATCATAATTTGAATTAGTAGTATCAAGGTTCCGAAATTGTGCTAGTGTACTATAGATTCCCAGCTACATGGTTACATGGGGACGATATTAGAGTCTGAAGTGCAGGATCTCGGCCAGCACTGGCCAACAGACCCCGGCCGGATGCGTCCAAGATAGCAATGATGCTTCATGATCCAGCACCTGCCAACAGCCCACTTCCGTATGCGTCGGAAATATAGATGATGCTTTGATTCATCACAACCAAGGCAGGATGCAACAATAATGCAGTAACCATGAACTCATGGGCTCCCTTCTTTATTCTCAGCTCGGCTTGATAGCTCTAAGAAGAGTTTCTATTCCCAGCGAGAATCAAGAGTTCCTTTTACTTTCGCCTACCTTTCTTCGCCTCATTCCTCTCTGTCTAGTCTTAACCTCGAGTTATTTACTCTTCAAATTATTATAATGTATAAGATATATATTCCGTTTATACTCGGGCTATCATTTCTTTCTTCAGCCCTCGCAGATCCTGTCTGCCTCTCTCCCTCGACTTCAGGAGGTATAGCTAATAAAAACGTCTGCTGCCCCAGTACCAGCAGCCAGGGAGAGGATCCGGTTGACGGTATCATCTACGAATATAAATGCAGTGCCTATGCAAAAAAAGATTATCTGTTAAAAACAACAGCCTCCAGCGCCCTAGACTGTGCCCGGCAGTGTGCTGCGCAAGCAACTACCACTGGCAGTCAATCCTGCCACGCCGCCAACTGGGGCCCGTTGAACAGCGAATGCCATCTATACGGTAGCGGATTCCAGCAGAAGGCCGATACCTCAGGCGACTGGATACTTCTAGTCCGCACTGATCGAGCAGCTCAGGATTGCCAGAGTCTTATTGATCAGGCAGTCGGAACGGAGAAGATGGATTGTCAGACCAAGTTAAACGACAAGGACTTGGAAAAGACCACAGCCGTGAATACGGAGAAGTCTGCCTGCACCAAGCAAGTCAACAATGAGAAGTCCGCTTGTACCAAGCAATCGAATGACAGAAAGAGTATTCTCGGCCGGAGACATTACACAGTCTAATATAATAAAAGTAAGTCTTGTTGCTGCACATCCTTCCTAATTTTTGTTGTTCAGCTGGTGTGCTAAGCTTGCCATGCTACAGAATATGACTATACCAAGAAGAAATTCACAAAAGTGAGTAATATCGCATCACCTCATCTATGTTACGAACTCTGCGCTCTGGATTCGACATGCCTCCATGCATATTGGCAAGCCAATCTAGTATGCCACAAGATCAACGAGAAGATTACCACAGCGGACCTCAAATCGATCGATGCTGGGCTGAATGCGCAGACTGCTATTTTTAAATAGGGAAATTGGTTACTTAACCCATCTTCTGGGGAGTTGACAGCCCGGGTTGGCTAGGGCTGTAAATAGTACGGCTTGTGCTTGAAGGGAGTCGTGAGTGTTCTACACTATTATAATGAATAAACATATCTTTATCATGTTTAGCATATGTTCTTGAAGAAGTACAATATAACCTTCTGATATCTGCCCTGGTATTCGCATTCGCGTAGGCATAGACTTTCTATCCAACTTTCGAAGGCATTGTCGATCAAGAACCAGTGTGGGGCAGGAGCTGCAGCTGCAGAATGAAGTAGGAAATACGAAGTCGTAGGTGGAAGTCACGTCATGAACGTCTCGACGGGCTGCGATAAAAAGTCTCAGCTTCTGACTGATGGAACAAAGAGCTTATAAAAAAGGATAACACACACCTATCCAGATACACCTCGGATGGTACGGCCTGCAGGATAATCGTGCATCAATAGTACAGACCGTAAGCGTACGACAACCCTCCACCTACAAGACCCCGATGGGCACAACTCATATAAACGTGACCTACGAAACTCGTTTTGATCGAAGCAAAGCTCACTGTTTCCGTTGTACCATAATGCACACATATGTGTTACCCGTCATTGCCCACATTGCCCATTTACTTCGTACATCAGATCAAATCCCCGGTGACAAACGCCGTCCCATTTCAATTCATTGCATTCTCGAACCCCCATCCTGTGTCCTAATCCAGCCAAATTGCATAAATGATGTCCCAGCCAAACCCCAAGAAAGAAGTAGTACAGGAAGCGAAAAAGTATGCAAAGTCGACAAGAGCAAGAGCTTAAGCGGGAAAGGTTTTTTTTTCGTAGGCCAGACACCGAGTTGAATGTAGAGGGAGAAAAAAAAAAGGAAATTCGCGAGGGAAACCATCAAGAGTCAGTTGAAGGACATCGGCAGATGCCGTGAACCATGAGAGGAGAAAAGAGCAAAGCATCAGAAACACAAAGAGCAAACGTTTTTTTTCCATTCAGTACATCGTGAGTGCAACCCCGCGGGGGAAATCAACCAAAGAAGCAACCAGCCAAGCTCTCGTGGAGAGTACAGATTACACACGTGAGGAGAACATAAAAGGGGAAATATGTGTTAACAGGTGGCATATAAGATGAGATATTTTCCTTACCGGGGTTTGCCGTACCCCAAGATTAATGGCAAAGAAAATAAAAAGCAAAGGGAAAAGCAAGGGGAAAGAGCCAATGTAGATTTGATCACCAGTTAAGATGTAACGCCATAATCCCTTTAGTGACCGTAATTGCCTCCCCAACCTCCACGTGTGTTGCCATAATAGTTAGCGAAGCCTGCGCCACCGTAGTTACCATAGCCAGTGGGTTGGTGGTGGGTCTGAGAACCGGCCGCCTGGTGACCGCCGAGACCACCCAAGCCGCCGCCGTACTGGGGGTTCAGGTGGGGGTAGCCACCAAAGCCCTGCTGACCCTGCTGACCCTGCAGCGGGGGAAGGCCACTCTGGGCCTGAGGCTGACCCGGGGCGCTGTTCGTGGCAGAACCGGGGCGGTTAGCCTGCGCAAGAGAGGGGCTGGGTCCAGCCGCCTTAGGAGTATCGAAGCTCTTTGTCTCCTCGGACGTCACAGGAGGCTGTTGGGTGATCGGCTGGTTCTGGCCGAAGCTGCCCTGGGATCGACCAAAGACGTCCGACATACCGGTTCCGAAAGCATTTGAACCCGCCGCAGCGGACTGCTGGCTCTCCGATGGCTGGGCAGATCCAGTACGACCGTAGACCGAGTCACGGCCAGGGATGGTTTGGTTGAAAGAAGCCGCCGTGGCGGGGGAGGAGGTGTGATCATAAGAGAAGGCGTGGGGTTGACCGTACATTCCACCCTTGCCACCATAGGGGCCATACTGGCTTCCGTAGCCGTACTGATTGCTGTGGGGCATGTAGTGGTCGTCGTATCTGCGAGCATCATCGTACATCGGACGGTTTCTGCCGTACTGGTTCATTCCACTCATGTACGAAGCATAGTGAGGGTTCGAGTAGTAGGGGTATCCGTATCCGTAGTTATGGGCACCCTGGCCTGGCATGTGCTGAGCCGTTGGTGTCTGAGTAGCGCCCGGAAGGGTTGGGTTGGGGGTGGTGTGACCGCTGTTGGGGGCCTCGACATGACCGTAGCGACTGGGGGGTTGGGTGGTAGGGACGTGCGGCTGCACTTCGGCGCCAGAGACCCCAAATCCTGCTCTCTGGGCAGCCACAGTGGCATCCTGAGACTGACCGTAGGAGCCGTAGTAGTTGTAAGGAAGACGCTGGTCAACGGCATAGAATGGCGAGTACTCGCTGCCGGTAGTGGCAGTTGGCTGAATAGGAGCTTGGTTGGCGAACGGCTCCTGAACTTGAGGTTGGGGCTGCGAAACCTGCTGGGTGAAGGGATCATAGGGCTTGTGGGCATCAGTGTAGCGAGAGAAGTCGGCAAACGAGTTGTCGGCAGCAGACACCTGGGGCACAGGAGGAAGTCCCGGAGCCGGGCGGGCAACTGCAGGGGTTTCGGTAGGAGCCTGGGCCTGGGTGGAAGGAGGCAAAGAGGCGCGAGGAGCGACGGGAGAATGTTGAGGAGGTTGAGCACGGGTTTCCGCATCTTCCCTGTTCTCATCGATGTCAACGTCAACAGCATCGCCATTCAGTCCCATGCTGCCAAACTGGACCGCCGCGCGGTCCACGGCGTGGTTGCCTGGCATAACCACGGCCTCCTGCTGTTCCATAACACGACGCTGGGTGCCTGGAGTGCGAGTGCTGTGCTTCAGAGCACTACTGGGGTGGATGCTGGCCGGAACACGGGTGGGAGTTGCAGCAACCGGAGCATTGGCAGCAGACTCAAGAGTGCTGCCCACAGTGCTAGCTGCGGTAGCGGTCGGGGCGGGAGGAGAGACGTCGGGGATCTGGGCGAGGTTGTTCCTGGTCAGATCGTCCTTGGGAGCGGGCACTTCGGGTGCAGGAGGGCTGACGGTGGTTGGTTCTTCGGTAGACAGAGTCTGAGGGATGACAGGCTCGGGAGCTTTCTGTGCAGGCACTGGAACAGGGAGGGGAACAGGGACAGGAACAGGAGCCTGAGCGGGAACCGGTGCAGGCACAGGAGCCGGTGCAGGAGCCGAAACAGGAGCAGGAGCCGGCGCAGGAGTAGGCTCAGCTGGTTTCTGCTCCTCCACTGGTGCAGCAGCAGGCTTCTCGGGGGCCTGAACAGGAGCGGGAGCAACAGGCTTCTTCGGCTGGGGTGGCGGCGTGGGCTTAGCAAACAAGCTGGCCCATCCCGTCTTCGCTCCTCCGGGGACCACACTGGGCTTAGGAACGTCCTGGGCGTTGTCTTTCGGGGCATCGGCGGGTTCGGAGGTTGCTGCAGGTTCAGCATCGACAGTGTTCTCAGTCTTGGTGTTTGCGGTGGGCTCGGGAGCAGCAGTAGCAGGGGTATCGGTCACGTTGGTAGCGACAGCTGGCTTCTCAGTACGGGCGCCATTGGTGTGTACAGCAGCCCTGCCACCGCGACCACCACGGCCCCGATCTCCACGAGCACGGCCCCGGCCTTCAAACCCACCGCGTCCACGGCCCCCGCGGACAGAGGGGATGACTGACTCGGTCGGGGTGCTCTGTACCTCCTTGGGCTTAGGACGGCTGCGGTCTGTGGTCTTCTTCTTTACCTCACCCCACTGAGAGACATTGCCTGGGTAGAGACACGAACCAATGTCAGTGGCTGACCGAAAGCGAGTAGCGAGGCATTGGAATACGGGGAAAAGAGCAGACCTTCACTAATGCGATCAATTGCTGCCTCCAGGTCACCATCAGCATCCTCGAGAGCGAAGATGAGATCCTCATCGGTCCAATCGCTGAACAATTCCTTCAGCATGGGCAGGGTGTCGGAGTACTTCTTCTTCATCTGGCCGATTTCTCCTTCATCTTCGAATGTGGCGGGTGCGCCCTCTGAGTTGTCTGCCTTTGTGGATCTGCTACCACCGCGACCACCTCTGGAGCTATAGCCGCCACGACCGCCACGGGCAGATACTCTGCCACGAGAGGCAGAAGGCCTTGATTGAATTTCAGACATATCGTGTAGTTGTTATTTGTGAATCTCCCGTATCGAGAGATGGTAAAGGGAGGAAGAAAGAGAATGGAGAGTGACCCAAGGTAGTTGAAGGGGAGAAAACAAGGTGCGGCTAGTGGGAAGAAAAAGCGGGTAAAAGGTCGTAATTTAGTGTACGGTAGCAATGATGGAGATGCAGCCTCACGAGAGAGGTCAGCAGCACCCAAGAACCACTAAGAAGGCACACAAGGGCCAATAGAGTCGGGGAGTTCTTGAGAGATTCGAGGAAGGGGAGCTGGAGAAGTTTAGAAAAGGAAAAAAAAAAGAATACGAGAGGCTGGAGAGAACAAAGTTGACACACACCAAAGGAAATAAATTCTTTGGAAGAGAAAGAGAAGAGAGAGAAAGAGAGGGAAAAATAGGTGGGCAAAGTTGAAGGGGGAAAGAGTACAGGTAGGTTGGTAGGTAGGAGGTGCAGAAAGTTTAGCTTAGCAGATCGAGTTCATGGAATTGGATGGGGGAGGGAGTGTGCTGAGGGCGGAAGACAAGACGAAACAGAGCTGGAACAGTTAAATGACAGTACACGCAGATTCATCGGGCGCAGCCCAGGAAAATACAGCTTTATCATTGGCTAATGATCTTACTATACTTCCTCCATACTGTACGAAGTGGTTCCTTACCGTACCTATCAGCAGCCCTGCTGTAATGATGAATTATGTCGGGGTACCTAGTAGTTAGTTAAGCTTGTCACTATGTAAACTATGTAAACTACCTAGCCTACCTCTGTGAATTTCGTCATCCATTATAACTTAGTGAAGTTACTCGAGTACTCGTACTTGATAACTAAGGTGGGGGCATTATTGACAACTACAGTTTATTAATTCACAATCTGTGAGACAACTCAATCCGTCTTACATTGATCCGAGGCATGAATATAATCCTTCTTAGCTCAATGGCCTATTGGTTTTACATCTCAGCCATGATACCTCAGTACTACCTGTACATTTCTTTCTGTAATCTTACACCATCGGTCCTTCCATGGGGCGAATTGCGTGGTGAGGTGGCAGCAGCCCTCGCTCACCGCCCGTCAGTTTGGGTCGAATGATCGTTTGCCATGAGTAACCGCCCGCCCATATGATCTGTGCCTCATTTTGACTAGCCCATAATATGGTGCCCGTCATGTTGGCCCATCGTCACTGCAACGCATCTCCTCGGCCGTTCTGGGTCTAAGCATAGAACACTGCTGCTGACTCTTGTCCGTTGCGTCGCTTTTGACCAATCTTGCTTAATCGAGTCACAAATTCTTCTCCAGTCAGCCGTCATTACGCCATGAAAGGCACGCCAAGTTTAAATTACGCTCCCTGGCTTAAGAACCTTCATCCCCCATTGCCCCGGACTCCTCGGCAGTCGCAACAACTCCTCAATGCCCTTACATCCTCCTTTCGGCGTCAACTCGATCGCGAATATCCTGCCGCCCGTACCCCTACTCTCGACAAAGATGAAGTCTCCGAGGACCATCCGCCGAAGAATCCCGAGTCTTCCAGCTATGCGACGGACAAACATCTCCAATCAATCTTAGACAATCCGCTGTTCCGAGTACAACCCCGCAAGGAGGTCAGGGTCAAGGACCCGAGCCAGGACGCCAGACTGGCAAAAGAACCCATGGTGGTATTCGAAGAGTTGGCCGCCGCAGGCAATGTCACTTCCTCTGCTTTGAGCAATTGTCTGGTGTCTCAGTTACTCCTACTGAGTGGCAAGAAGTCGGGCGATGACTTTGTCAAGGCAATGAGGGATTCCAGGACTGCATCAAGAATTGCCAGTTGGTGGTCTGCCTCCGATCCGCAGTCTAGACGATTGTTGTTCCTGCCGCAAATAACACCTCTCATTACCAAGTTTCTGGTTGCTGAAAATATGCAAAACGTAGCTTCAACTTGGTTAAAGTTGCTAGCACAGCAAGACGCCCTTGGAGGTGAAACGTTCCGACTCAAGAAGAAAGACGCGCGGATCTGGTTCGGTGGGCTTCTGAATGACCTCGTGCTTGCTGAGGCTCGGTACGGGGGTGGAATAGAGTCCGCAATGCGACTGTACGTTTCCGCCGGTAGCATCACTACTCTTGATCAGACTTCGATAATAGACGACGAGTTCTGGAGGGCAACCCTCCTTTCTGCTGGGGGCCATCTCGGCCAACAAATCATACAGAATGAACCGGAACATGCCGGTGGCGTGGAGCCAAACCTCTATGAGAACTATGTACACATCATCAACACCGTGGCTGCCAATTCGTTGCTTCATGCCTGTGTGTGTATGCATCATCCCACGCAGCCGGATGGCAGGCCCTACGTTCTCTATGTCCAAGCACTCCCACAGGATCGGACCGCATCATGGTCCAAGGTGAGACGAGAGCATTTCATGCGTGCTGGCTTCACAGCCCTTCGCATCCTGCTTGATCAAAATAGGACTGTGCATGCTGCTTGGCTGGCAAAGTATATGCAGAAGACGATATCACAGCATCTCGATCCCGAGGAAGTACAATCAGCTCAATTTGAGTTGGCACGCCTCGAGCCCGCTTGATGGCTTTCTGCACAAAAAAGCTAGACACGCTGTCCGAGGAGAATTCGCACGTCTTGCGCCGATGCAAACACATAGGTGCAAGGTTAAGCTGGTAGTAATTTCGGCTTTCGATAATAGATCATGAGGATCCATTCGATTACATCTATGTCCTTACGTCCTTGCTCACGATCACACGAAATCAGCGCACCTACTCCGTTCACCAATGGCTCAGCCCTTTGAAAGAGCGAACCAATTCTAGTTCTGCTTTGTCTATGGAGAGTGCGCTGCATCAGTCTCGTGCAGCTAACTACTGAATACTACCTAGTCGTTATCGCCAAGGCTTATTAATATTCCGTGATCCAAGCCGCTGAATCATGTTCATTGGTTCCCCCAACTCTTTCGATCGGACATGTGCTGATGCTGAGCTCCTCAGCTCAAGTTCCAGGCCCAGTCAACCTTCAGAGCCTCGGAATGCGGGCAACCGAGATTGAGTCTCCGTGTGGAACGGGGAAGCGTCGCTTGTTGTTCTGGCAAACGTCACCGCGCAACCTCACCTCACTCTCTCTGATCTATTGATTATCAATCGCAATATTCTTTCTCTGCCTACAATCGATCCTTTCCCATATTTCAGATCAAATTATTCTGCATATCTTGGGTACTATATCAGGTAGGCCCATCACTACCACACCTCAGCTGTTTCCTTGTCGCACGCTTAGCTATGGCTTCCGAACGGACCATCAACTCCAAAACTCCTACGCCTTATGGTATGTCTGCATATTCGCAGCTGGGCTGTGGGTCTCTGTTTGATAACACAGCGATTTGTTGACTCAAATTGACCAATATTTGCTCCTGCATTGACGTCATTACCCCAGAATCGACCAGGACCGTGGAAGCTGGTGCGAAGAAACCCTCCATCGACGATGCCCCACTCCTAGCGGAGCGCAACGGAACCTTTAAGGAGGTTATGAATGAGAGACAGTCTAACGATGAAAGTAATTCCGGTACACATGGAAAAGCTGGCGATGGGATGAACTTCTCCCGCGAAACGCAACAAAGTGATCAGACTACTAAAACTACAACAGCATCGGCTGATCTGAGCGATGAGAGACAATCCGAGCAGCGGAGTACTGGTGCAAAGTTTGAAAAGCGTGAACATGCACCAAGCTCGATGCAAGCTGATACTGTTAAATCAAGCTCCGAGCATGCACCAGAGCATACGTCCAAGAAACAGAAGACGAAGGAACAGCATGTCGCTGTCAAGGACGAACTGTCGGCTCCTTCGGTTACAAAATCGAGTCAGCCTGCTAACGACCCTAAGACCTCAGCAGGTCGGCCCAAGAAGAGAAAGGACGCGCCGAACAGGGATATTCCCACGGATGGCATTGGCAGCCGAACGCGGAGTCGTACCAAGATTGCTTCTTAATCAAACCTACCACTATCAGGAACTGATCTTGCGGTCATAAGGGAAAGTCTTCTTTAGTCACACGGCGATGATCGTGCTGGACATTGACCAGTCTTGATTCTGCTACTTGTGTTCCTGCGTGAAATTCTGTGCCCGAAGTGTATGTCGACATGGTCAATGTTAAGCAATAATCAACCTTAACAGATTATGCGATCGGCTAGGGTATCGTTTCCAAGAGCACCATAATCATTGCGCTAGATCATTGAACAGCATCCATATTCAGGTAGCAATGATCCTTGGTCATTTCATTAGACGGTATCATTGCTACACTACTTCCGCAAACTGCATATCCAATACTCAAGTATCGGCATTTCAAACCGTACGTTGTCCCGGCTCTGCGCAAGTGGGTGACTACGGAGTACACTTGTCATCATAGCAGAGCTGATTTGCTAGACTAGATGCACAAAGCCCCATTATAACACTATTGGGGTCATTGGATCAGGCCCATCGAATCCAGTCCAATGATAGCGTGTCTCATCTGCTAATCGCCGACATCGGCTTGATCGTCGCTGAGTCACATCCCGGAACGGAACAACACTCTTCGACCCCGCCATCACCGTAGGGGGCAAGTGTGTGTCATAGGCCTGGTAGCTATAAACTTATTTTCTTTTGCTGGAAAGTCTAGAAATTATTCCTTAACTCCTTAACTTCAATTGCGTGCAACTTCCAAGAACAAATCAAAAAATCATCATGCCGTCCAACAAGATCTGGCTGCGCGCTGAAACCAAGCCCGCTGAGGCTCGTTCCGCCTGTAAGTACAACGCTATCTTGCAGTTAGACTCAATTGGCGAAAGCTGCACTCGATTTACTTTCATATGCCTCGTCACCTCCTCATACTAATCTTGTATAGTGACTCCCACCACTTGCAAGGCTCTCATCGACGCCGGATATGAGGTGACTGTTGAGCGCTCTACTCAGCGCATCTTCGATGGTAAGTTTAAATCACGTACTTGTAATGAACTTTGGGGGACTCAGTTTCTAATTGATTACTTGCTCTTTCAGATGAGGAATTTGCCAAGGTATGCAAGTCTGATTACACTGTTCTCATTGCGACGCGAATCTCACACCTGTCTGATAAAGGTCGGAGCGCCTCTTGTCGAGGAGGGTTCATGGGTTAAGGATGCTCCTAAGGACGCCTACGTCCTGGGTCTCAAGGAGCTGCCTGAAGATGATTTTCCTCTTGAGCACGTTCACATCTCTTTCGCACACTGCTACAAGCAGCAGGGTGGCTGGGAGAAGGTTTTGAGCCGGTGGCCCCGGGGTGGTGGTGTCCTGCTGGACCTCGAGTTCCTCCAGGATGAATCCGGACGCAGAGTAGCTGGTATGATTCCATGATTGACTTCGTGGTTATTGCAGCTGACTGATAATGTTGTGTGACAGCTTTTGGATGGTCTGCTGGTTATGCTGGTGAGTATATCCATGGTTGGAATTCGCCTCGGGCTTCTTAACTAATATATCTATACAGGTTCCGCTTTGGCCGTCAAGAACTGGGCATGGCAATTGACTCACCCTGAGGGCGAGCCCCTGCCTGGAGAGGAACCCTATGCCAACCAGGATCTTCTGATCAAGTCTGTCAAGGAGTCTTTGGAAGCTGGAAAGAAGCAGTCCGGCCGCTCCCCTAAGGTGCTTGTGATTGGAGCTGTGAGTATTGAACCCGATTTGGTCACAAAGGAGACATCTGACAATATATAGCTTGGTCGTTGTGGTAACGGCGCCGTGCAGCTGGCTAAGGATGTTGGTATCCCTGAGTCTGACATCATCCAGTGGGATATGGCGGAGACCAAGAAGGGTATGCTGCGCTCGAACAAAACCCTTGATCAGCCACTAACACCTCATAGGTGGTCCTTTCAAGGAAATCATTGAAGACGCAGACATCTTCGTCAACTGCATTTACCTATCTTCTCCCATCCCTCCGTTAGTTCTCCCATGTATCCACGAACTACCTTTCTTCTGAAGGCTAATGACGAATCTAGTTTCGTTACACCTGAAAGTCTCGCCACACCCAACCGCCGCTTGTCGGTCATCTGCGACGTGAGCGCTGATACGTAAGTTTGATTCTCGCTTGTCTTATTAAAAGGCTCCAGCTAACATAAGCATTGCAAAGCACGAACCCCCACAACCCTATCCCCGTGTACAACATCACAACTACCTTTGACAAGCCTACGGTACCTGTCACCCTGCCGGCTGGCACGCAGGGTCCTCCCTTGAGTGTGATCAGTATCGACCACCTGCCATCTCTCCTGCCCCGTGAGAGTTCCGAGCAATTTAGCCAGGCTCTGCTTCCCAGCTTGCTCCAGCTCAAGGACCGGGAGAATGCCCGCGTCTGGAAGCAGGCCGAGGATCTCTTCCAGGAGAAGGTCGCTACCTTGCCTGAATCCTTCCGCGCGTAGATATACCTTTGTGTGATTTTTGCCGACTTTTCTTTTGAAAGTCATTCTGTACAAATCTTCTTGGATACCTGTCATGATGCCTTTGCTGGACTTTTTTACGGTTGTTTTGCATGTCATGGATTGTCGTCTGGTTTACGTCATGCCATAAAATTAGACAGGTCTAAAAGCAATTTAAACCACTTGCTCGTTTTTTGAATATTCTGATTCTAGAACCATCTTACCGTGCCATATATATGGGAGACGCTTTGGCACTGGATGTTACTAGGAGACCGGGTGGCCTGAGGCCAAAAGTTAGTTGGATCTGCTGATTCAAGTGTCAAACAACACTCTCCACTTCAATTTCCAAGCCTTGTCCATGGAGTCGGGCCGCATGCACCAGATATTCTCATTTTTACAGTTTTTGAAGGGGAAAGGGTAAATGATCGATTCGCTTATAAGTTCAAATAACCCGTCTAATCGGGATCATGACCGTACAGTGGAAGCAGCAAGGGATCTGCACATTATCAGCAGATGTTCTTCCTTCAAGGCTTTTCGCCTTGTCCAGCCGGCTAGGGGGCCACATAACCCATTAATTTGCCTCACATTCAATACTGCTCTCACCACTGACGAGCCAGAATTAAAAGGGCGATGAGCTCTGGATACCATTTGTGGGGAAATCAGATTGCGTCGGGCAACATTGGGGGTCCACGAGGAATACGGGGCGCTCGGCGCTGAAGAACCTCCGAGATAACCCAGCAAGAGGATCAATGCTTTATTGCTTTTGCCGCCTCCTGCCTGCACCGGGACAACCTGCATTGCAGCATTTGTACTGAGATGAGCATACCGAATGACTACTTGTGCTATTATGCAGTGTAGTCAATTGATTACAGTACACTAGACTCGGTCTGGGTGAGATTGTCACTCTGATTGACGCCCCCTCCCCCCCCTCTCCCTAAACCTTACCCCATTTTCTCTCCACATCCCTCGGTCTATGAGGGCAAGACAGCTGACGATTAGTATTCCACTAGAGCTTCCGTGAAGCGAATCGTACTCCATCCCCGAGCCCCCCGAGCAGTGCCAGCCCGCTTGTACATATACGTGCCTAGTTGGAAAGTCGAAGGAAAACTCAATAAGACTCGTCTTGGCGTGACAATCCGTCTGCCTGTGTTCACTCGATTGTCCACCCTCCGTGGCACATTTGTCCCATGGAGCGGCTATAGCATCGACCTCGATAGTCTGCACATATATCGCAATCCAGTCTGGCCCAGCCTGTACCTACTCCACCTCACTCAAGAGAGCGATGCAGGAGAAGTCAACCACAGTCGCCGCATATGCGGCTGGGGCATCTCTTGCGGCCGTCGCCCTGTTCTACGTTTTCGGACCCAATTACACGATCGATGGAGATGAGTCAAGCGACAGCGGTCGCAAGAAGAGTATTGTTGGGTTGTCGAATCCTGCCAATGACTGCTTCATCAATTCCGTGCTGCAGGCCCTTGCCGGCCTCGGGGAGCTGCGAGTTTACCTGATCAGAGAACTGCATCGACGGGAGTTGGATGGTCTCGAGATCTACAGTCTCCTCCCACCATTAGACGAGATCCCACGCGATGGGAAACCGGACAAAATACGAGAATTGCAGCAAGGGACCATCACTAGGGCGCTCAAGGAGATGCTGGATCGCCTGAATGAGCGTCCTATATACAAGAAAACGATATCTGCGCGACCATTCATTCAGTCACTCGAGTACGCTTACCGGACACGAATTAGTCGGAGTCAACAGGACGCGCAGGAATTCCTCCAAATTGTAGCCGAGAGGCTCTGTGACGAATACCACGCAGGAGTCAAGGCCCGACTGCGAGCGAAAGGCATAGGCGAGCCTAACCAGGTCGCTGACTCGGATAATGAGCTTCCAGCGAAAAGCCCAACGGACATCGAAGTGCGCATCGATGACGGATCCCCAAATGGTCTCCCAGCAATCATTGATACTAAGCTCAAGGAGATTGAGAATGAACACAGCTTTCCTTTCGAGGGAAAGCTCGAATCTCAAATTGAATGCCAATTTTGTCATTACAAATACAAGCCGAACCAGACATCGTTCGTCAATTTGACGCTGCAGGTCCCTCAGAAGAGCTCAACTACACTCAGCGCCTGTTTCGATGGTCTACTCAAGACAGAGTATATCGACGACTTCAAGTGTGACCGGTGCCGACTGCAGCATGCTTTAGATATCAAAAAGCATGATCTGACCACGGCTCGCTCGGGTGAGGAGAGAAGAACACTCGAGATGGAGATTGAGCGCATACAGACCGCCATCTCCACAGATCCCGAAGGTAGCTTAGAAGGGGTCAGTCTGCCCCCTTCAGAGCTGGCTCCAAAGCGAAAGATCGCACGACATATGCGGATCGTCGCATTTCCCAAGATTATTGCCATTCATCTTTCCCGCTCCATCTTTGATCAGAGCAGTTCATCCAAGAATGCTGCGAAGGTGTCTTTCCCTGAACGTCTTCCTCTAGGCGGTATCTTGAGTCAGAAATGGTACCGACTGCTGGCGATTGTCAGCCACAAAGGTAGTCATAACAGTGGACACTACGAGTCTTTCCGCCGTAACCATCTTTATGCCCCCTTTTCGACCCCCGATGCATTCAGCTCCTACGCGCAGAGTCGAGCAACCAGTGAGAATCCTTCTGAGGCACCAAGTCCAAGGCTCGGAGCTCGTCAGTCTTCCGGGCGTGAGCCCTCTGCGCTCAGTATCTCGACACCTTCAGAACCACCGAGTCACTCGTCGCAATCTTCCCCAGCTCCTTCCCGCTCCACCTCAAGCAAAGAGTCTAAAGCATCGTCCCAATCGAACACCCCCTTATCGCCGACTACTCGTCCTACTACATCGAGCTCGAGGCTTTCTTTCCAGAGCAACCGTTCTCGCTCAACAACATCCAAGCAAAACCTGTCGCCTGTTTCTGATCCACTCAGTCCAGCGAATGATGGTGGACGCTGGAGCAAGACCTTCTCGAGAACGTCTCTCACCAGTGATCTAGGCACGCAGCCAACAACACATACGGCAGAGACCTCAGTAGCTTCCAGCTTCCGGCACCGCCGTCGTCGCAAGCAAAATGATAGATGGTGGCGCATCTCCGACGAGAAGGTCAAGGAATGTAAAACATCGGATGTTCTGGGCATGCAGAAAGAGGTATATCTCTTGTTCTATGAGTTGGAAAGGCCAAATACTAGTGCATAGCTTGGGTGCAACGAAGATACATAGAGAATAAAGGTCTCGCAGGTGTACATATTGGACATATCCATAGAAAGATGGATACCAGTTTGGAATAGTAGTACCACAGGGGATGATGGTCATAATCGGGTACATGATCTATTGGACCAGAGCCCATAACGAGAGTATAGGGTACTTTCTTGATGTCTAAATAAGAACTCATTGAATGGCCTTGTACGTGGTATCTTTGTTGGAATGATTCACTCACCTCCCCCCCCCCAGAGTCAAACAATTACTTAGTCATCCATACCGCGACCGCATTCCGCCCAATTACAAGCTATGATTGGCGCCGGCGGGCATGGCAGCTTGCCCTGCTTTAAGGCGGGTGGATCCGAGAATTCAAGTCCTGGACTTACCGGGTAAAGTGCATGGAAGGTTGTCGGGAAGTCCAGGTCTTGTTGTGATTATTTATTATTATCTTTTTTTAAAAATAATAATAATAGGAATTGTGGTTTGACCTGTTCCAGTCAGGCAACACTAACACAACACTCACAACACACCCCCATCGCTAACTAACTTGCTTCCCACTTCCTCCCGTCCATCACATAACGTTCGGAGAACACACATAACTTACCTACATTAGCGAAATCCAAACCCTGAAGTAGGTCGCTACAAAACAAATACGCAACTGCGCTCAAATTTCATCCCTGACGTTCTGCATTAGTCAAAAAAGAGGAACAAACAGAATTTCTCTTCCTTTTTTTTTCTCTTCTCAATTTACCATGCCTCCCAAACGCGCAACCCGCGGAGCCGCCGCCTCCACCGACGGTCGCAAAGCGACAACCGCATCCTCCAAAGCTACCGCCCCTACGAAAACCCAGAAAAAGACAGAGTCCAAAGCAACTACTAAGGCGGCGGCTGCTCCAAAAACTACTACTGCGCCTGCCAGCCGGAAACGAAAGGCTGCTGAGTCTGACGATGAGGCTTCCGCTCCTGTCGCGCGCGTCCAGAAGAAACAGAAGGAAGGTGAGTGAGAACTAAACATTCCCCAGGTCATCAAACACTATCATCGCGCGCGCGCACACACGCCTTCGCGCGGACGATTGTCGCTGCGCCCGATCATCCTAGCTGACATGAGGGCCTTTCCTCCATGATAGAAGCGCCTGCTCCGGTCATCAACCACCCTCCCACAAAACGACTAGACGTCTACGTCTTCGGAACGAATTGCTACGGTGAGCTCGGTCTCGGGGACGCGACCAAGAAATCGGAAATCCCGGGCCCCGTCCTCAACCCCAAGCTCGCCGCAGACACCGTCGGTGTTGTCTACTTGGCTGTGGGAGGTGTCCACTCGGCGGCTCTGACGCATGATAACAAGATTCTCACCTGGGGTGTCAACGATGAGGGAACCCTTGGGCGTGATACCAAGGAAGAGAAGAAGGAGGTCGACGAGACCAACGGCGTTAACGGGGATGACAAGGAGGACAAGTCGGATTCCGACTCGGACGATGACGAGGTCGACCTGAACATGAAGGAGGCCACGCCCATGGCGGTCGACTCGGCTCATTTCCCCAAGGGCACTGTCTTCACGCAACTGGCAGCCACTGACAGCGCAACGTTTGCTCTCACCCAGGAAGGAAAGGTTTATGGTTGGGGTACTTTCAGAGTAGGTTCTTCTTCGAAGTCTCTTGGGGGAAATCAGTACAACTTGCATTTTTTCCATACTTACAATTTCCTAGGGAAGCAACGGTGTCATCGGATTTTCCCCTGACACCAAGTTCCAGCGCACGCCGATCCTGATTCCCGGACTCGAGAAAGTGACCGAACTTGCTGCCGGTGCACAACATCTCATGGCGCTCACTTCCAGCGGCCAAGTCTTCACCTGGGGATGCGAGGAACAGAACCAGCTGGGACGGAGAATCTCCGGCCGCCTGCACGGCAAGTTGGAGAGTCTCGTTCCCGGCAAGTGTGCCTTGCCCTCAGGAGTTGTCAGCATCGGCACCGGCTCGTACCACTCCTTCGCTGTCCGCAAAAACGGCCATGTGCACGCTTGGGGCTCGAACAACTTTGGACAGACTGCTGTTCCTATGAGTGCGGGCCAGAGCGATGCTGTGGTTCTCTACCCCACTGAGGTCAAGTCCTTCCGCGAGTTCAACAAGATCGTCAGCATCTGTGGTGGAAAGGACCACAGCATCGCCGTCACGGAAGATGGCAAGTGCCTGACCTGGGGTCGCGTCGACAACAAGGCCCTTGGTCTGGCCCTGGCCGATATGCCTGCGGATGATCTGGTGCACGATGAGCATGACCGGCCTCGTATCCTGACCAAGGCCACGCCGTTGGTCGATATCAAGGATGAGCACATCGTCTTCGCCACTGCCTCCAGTGATCATTCTTTCGCTATCACCAAGGATGGTAAGGCGTACAGCTGGGGCTTCAACGTCCAACGCCAGGCCGGACACCGTGAGCTTGACGAAGTCGAGCGACCAACTCTGCTCCAGAACAAGCATGTCAACGGCAAGAAGCTGGTCGGTGCCTCGGCCGGTGGACAGTTCAGTATGCTAGTTGGCGAAGCTTCACCGCAGCAGGTGAACGGCGAGCAGGCATGAAAGTAGTAGCTATGTAAATTTGGCGGGTGTTCATGTTATCGTTTTCTAGATGGACTGGCTTTTGAAGAGCTTGTATTGCTAACAATGTGATGTCGCGATAATGGGAATCTTTTTTTTTTATTTCAGTTGAATACAATCTGATCTTGCTGAGAGTCGTTGCTTCTCTGGTTTTTTTTTTTCTTCTTAAAACCATACATGTCTTCTGTGCCTTGAGAGTGAACATCCTCGCTATGCTGCTCTAGTACCTGATCACCCCAAGCCCAGGTCCATAGATAGAGAAGCCGTTCCTCGGGAGTCGGCAGTCTCCCCGACTTATGGCTAAACCCGGGGCCGTCGAGGTGGTTCTCCACTACCGCCTGGCCCTTTACTTGCTTATTTCTCCGTATATCGCTGGTTTCGAGCAGATCAGCTGGACTGGGGTAAACGCAGTCTAGGCCCTTGGGGAGAGGGGGCAGAAATAGAACGAATTGATTGGAAAATGTCAGCACCTCATGGCCGGAGGAATTCTCCCCGTCAATTTTTCCGATGGATAATAGATGGAAGCACGAAAGAATTACGGAGAGCCCGGGGAAGGAATAGAATGATATACCCGATTTACGGAGGGATTGGGGGGGGAGAGCTATAGCCGGTGTTGTGTTGCTGGAGGACACGGCAGTATGGTTCAGCTTGTATGCAGTCAAAGTAGTTAGAGGGCATGAGGATGAGCAGTCCTTCAAGAAGGGCTCAGGGTCGGAACAACAACCATATCATCATTGCGAAGTGCAAGCAAGCAGAAACCAACCGGTCGAGGGGAAGAAATCACCTCGTAGACCAGCTGCAGGCTCGACAGCCTGGAGGCAAGTGGAACAAGCCGGGCCGGGATGATGTCAAGGGAGGGACGCGGGGATTCCCGGGAAGCCGGCTGCGGCCTGAGACATGAGGCAGGAATGGAGACCTGCAGGCCGCAGCGCGCGTCATCGGCGGCTTCAGAATGGAAGCATCATCCATCAAGTTCATCATCCATCGGACCTCAATTGTCCGGTTTACGTTTCAATTATGAGTAACCTGACTTCACTTACCATACTTTAGGGGCTGTTTCGATCCCTTTCTTCGACCTCAAGCTCTTCTTTCTGTGACCTTCTTCGTCTGGTTCTTGCTCGACTACAAGCCAACAAACAGCATTGAGCACTGATTTCATACTGAACACATCATTCCCCACCAGCCGGTGAGTTCTTCGAGCACTGCGAATCTGTGCCCCTCCATGACACACTTCGTCACTACGTACTGCCCCTCTCTTTCTTTTGCCCACCCACCCACCCTTTTCCCTTGCACTGCATCCTCCCTTCCCCACCCCCTCCTCTCACATCGTCCTCTCAGAGTGGTTTCTCCCTAGCAACCTTGTACTCTCACCCGTTGCCCCTCCCTGCCCGATTTAAATCTCCAGCTCCGTATTCGTCGCTCGGTAAAGGCCTGTTAGTCCAAAGCTATTCCCATCATAATTTATTTCAACCTTCTTTCCTCTCCTCTCTTCCTCTTCTTCCTCTTCTCTTTTCTCTTCTCTTCTTCTTCTCCCCATCCAATCTTCATCTCTCTATCTCTCCATTACTCATCACCTTAACTAGTAAACCATCAGACTTCAAAACGATCACAATGGGTGTCCTTGAGAAGCTTTCCCGCAAGTCCGGTGTCATCGTCGGTGATGACGTCCTCCGTCTCTTCGAGTACGCTCAGGAGAAGGGCTTTGCTCTCCCCGCCATTGTAAGTATTGCAGGCCAGAACTGGCCTTCCCAAAGCTTCAAAGCAGCTCAAAGCTAACCCACGTCTACCATTGTAGAACGTGACCTCCTCTTCCACCGTCGTCGCTGTCCTCGAGGCTGCCCGTGACCAGCAGTGCCCCGTTGTCCTGCAGGTCTCCCAGGGTGGTGCTGCCTACTTCGCTGGCAAGGTATGTATTTCATGAGTCCTGTGCATCGTCCAGACGGGCAATGGCTGACTGTGTAATCCAGGGTGTCAGCAACGACGGCCAGAAGGCCTCCATTGCCGGTGGTATCGCCGCTGCTCACTACATCCGCAGCATTGCTCCCGCCTACGGCGTCCCCGTTGTCCTCCACACCGACCACTGCGCCAAGAAGCTCCTTCCCTGGCTCGACGGTCTCCTCGATGAGGACGAGCGCTACTTCAAGCTCCACGGCGAGCCCCTCTTCTCCAGCCACATGATCGATCTGTCCGAGGAGCCCGTTGAGGAGAACATTGAGACCACCGCCAAGTACCTTAAGCGTGCTGCCCCCATGAAGCAGTGGCTCGAGATGGTAAGCATTGTGTGAACTCCCGTGTCACTTCATTCAATCTAACATAATTGCTTCAGGAAATCGGTATCACCGGTGGTGAGGAGGACGGTGTCAACAACGAGGACGTTGACAACAACTCCCTCTACACCCAGCCCGAGGACATCCTCGCCATCCACAACGCTCTCGCCCCCATCAGCCCCTACTTCTCCATTGCCGCTGGTTTCGGCAATGTTCACGGTGTCTACAAGCCCGGCAACGTCCGTCTCCACCCCGAGCTCCTCGAGAAGCACCAGGCCTACGTCAAGGAGAAGACTGGCTCCAAGAAGGACAAGCCCGTTTTCTTCGTCTTCCACGGTGGCTCCGGTTCCTCCAAGGAGGAGTACAAGCAGGCCATCAGCTACGGTGTTGTCAAGGTCAACCTCGACACCGATATGCAGTACGCCTACCTCACCGGTATCCGTGACTACGTCCTGAACAAGAAGGACTACCTCATGAGCACCGTCGGTAACCCCGATGGCGAGGACAAGCCCAACAAGAAGTTCTTCGACCCCCGCGTCTGGGTCCGCGAGGGTGAGAAGACCATGAGCAAGCGTGTCCAGGTCGCTCTGGAGGACTTCAACACTGCTGGTCAGCTGTAAACGAAAAGAAGCTTATTAATGTTTCTCTGATGTGATGTGTTTTCGGATTTGACGAAACCAGATACCAAGTACATAAATTCAAAACAATTTCTTCATTAATTCTTCGGATGGGGAGGGGAGGTGTTTGAGTGAGCGTAATATGGATTTGTGATTTGTTGTTGATGGGTTGATGTGCGCGGGGTTGGAGTTGATGATGTATGTAGTCGAGCTTCTTGACTTGTGAAGTAGGCTGAAAGAATCACTTTCCGATGGCTGATTGCAGGGCGTGTATAAATCTGTCATGATTCATCTCTCCTATTCATGAATGGATGTTGACTCAACCATCTCAGATATCCTCGCAAGCCCTGGTGTTGCATAACTGAATCAAGTTCAGTTAGTTATAGTCTGCTTTCCTCCCTCCGCGTTCCTGACTCTCGAGTGGTTGTACGAACAGCCCTTCAGCATACTCGATTGAACGCATGGCCGGTAGAGGTGCTGGAAAGTACGGATTGATCAGTCAAACCAATTGACTTTTTCTGCTCCAATATGAACCGTGGATATATCGGCGATGTTGACAAGGTTGAATGTTGACGTCAAATTCTTCCAGACAATTGATCGTGTTAATCAGGGCGTATAGCCCCCCGTACCTGAGCCTGTGACATGTCTCGCTCGCATGGCTTAGATGGTAAAGCGCAGCACTAGTAATGCTGAGATCCTCGGTTCGAGTCCGTGTGTGAGCAGTTGTATTCATTTTTGCCAGTTGTCTTTTTGCTTCCAGTCGGGTTGAAAGCTGTACCGTACTCGGGGTCTCTCTCTCTCTCTCTCTCTCTCTCTGATTGTCTTGATGCATATCTATCTAATTAATGCTAATTGACCTGTCTACTTTCTTGCTGCCGGAAGGTAGCGTGATCGGCTCGGAGAGGGGTGTCAGAATCCTGGAGCAGGCTATCGAGATTGAGATATGTTTGACATGTATATGTATTCTATGGGTCAATCGGGAACGAAAATATACACGGTGGTGAATCTGAGACGCCGGGATATTCTCCCTGTACGCCACAGTGTTTTGCTGTTGTGGGTCCCGCCATGCAAAGACAATCCGACGAAGTATATCCTCTGGTCTACCACGACTCAAAGCATCGTGGTAAACTCCATGCAGTTCAATTCGTTCCCGTCCCGACAAGCCCGATGGGATTCTTGTTGAATTCTATGCCCCCGGCTTAGCTGGATGGGTAAGTAGACGCTTCTCAGCGGCACAATGGATCAGAGCGCATTTGTTTCCAGAAGCGCGCCCTATGACAGCTTCCCCATCTACAACATCTTCAGGCGGGTAGTATCAGGCTCGTCTGAAGTGGATAACAAGATGAGGCTGGGCAAGCTGGTCGTCATACCTCAACCTGCCTCAGGCATGGGGTGAATCTCGTGTTTTCCCGAGTGATATACCATGTATGGCCGCCGGCGCAGGACTCCCTCGACACCAAACCGGAATGCAGGGTACACGGAGGTTGACACTGTAGTATCCTGAGCGTGAGTCACTAGAGTTGGTGTGGATTGTGAAGCTCATTGTGCTGGGAGGGAGGGAACGCCGGCGATAGTGTCGTGTGTTCTTCAGTGTTGGTGGTGATTCTGGTTATACTCGGTCTGTAAGGCGCCGTGGCTGTGCCTGGATTGTGTACCTATGGGATATACCGATGGTGAGCCGGGTTCTTTGTCTGCACCCGGTCTTTCGTGTGCAAGTCGCGGTACTGACTCGTCTCGCTTGCCGCATCTCATTTGTGATATCTAGGGCACCGCTCCTATGTAGGCGGCGCGATGGGGGTCTTTGGCCAGCCTCCATGCACCAAACGGCCATAACAGACTATCTCGTCCCTGTGTCTGCTGTGTGTATTCATAACGGGCTCCACTGTGATAAGAAATTTGGGGTCTCATATGGCAAGCAGCACAATGCCCGGGAATAAATAATGTCAAACAACAATGGAGTTGCGGTGAGTTAAGCCATTGAGGCACTGGTACATTCCCAGTGTACGAGGAACGTCTATCAGCCTGTACCTGGCCGTCAGTCCGGGAGAATATCAAAACCATAACAAGTCCCATCTGACTACCCATGTAGTATGGATGATGCTCCTATGCACGATGAGGTCATTTGTTCCAGTTAGTGATCGGTCTTCTAGAATGAATTTAGAGCATCAATACAAAGTTTAAGAACAAGATCAGCCAATCAGCTCGCATGGCTTAGATGGTAAAGCGCAGCACTAGTAATGCTGAGATCCTCGGTTCGAGTCCGAGTGTGAGCATCGTCTTCTTTTTTTGCTCTCGTATCAAACTCATCTACCTTTCTATCATGATGAATGATTTGCCCGACGGTCTCACTTGCGCTGTTAGCGCTATGCATGCCTAAGACAATCCCGTCATCACCCATGGATACTTACTCCACACGTCCTCACGCGATGATGAGATCGGCCTGTTGTCTTCTGCCATAAGCGCCCAGCATCGCGGCAGCCAACCGTTCTTAGCACACAGGCCTACGTTTAAATTTAGAAACAAGCAACTCCCTCCGTGCCGTGTAGATAGCGGGTACGCATGTTGAACCCTTGGATCAGCATGGCCGCCGCCGTGCCGTTCCCTGCCAAAGAAAGCAGACGTGCTCACATTGCAGTATTTGTCCCGTGCGGAGAAGATTTGCTGCCTCTCACTCAATTCCAGTTCAGGGAAGCTCCAAGCTCAGGGCATGAAGAGTGTAATGGCCTGTAAGTAACTTAGTCGAGGTGCAGATGCAAACGACACGTGCCTCTCTGCAAGTCGGGTGAGGTCACCGGGATGCGAACAACTGCGTGACAACCTATGTTCCCTCCAATGATCTCGTACAGACCGCAGATATGACCCAAATGGAGACCATACCCGCAGACTCTACGAATGGGGCAATGGCATCGGAGTTCAGTCTATACTTGCGGATTGAGAGATCGTGTTGACCGGAGCAGATGCGGGGTTCCGGCCGTCAAGAGATTACTCGAGTACGAAGATGGTAAGAAGCGTGCTATCGACATCATAGCACACGTCAATGGGATGGAGCGGAGCTGGCCCAAACTCAACTTTAGTGTTTTCATCATGATCCTCGTCCGAGTGAAATCATTACACACAGTAGGCAAAGTAGTCATCCGATCAGGCCGTTAGAAGGGCCCTGTGGCTTGACTGCCGTGATCAAGAATAGAAGCAGATGACTCCATTTGCCGGCAATTGACAGCAAGACCCGACTTCGATTGGACCCCGAGTCTTTTTTCTGCTCGACATTTCATTACGGTGTGCCACAATGGGGTGCACACCAGCCACACTGTGGTACATAGGTTAGTATGGGTACGGTAAGGAGTGGCTGAAAGAAGGGTTGAGCGTGGCTCTCCAGGCTGCCGATGGTATCCAACGTACCGGTCGTGGTCAGTCAAACCGAGTTTTGCGTACCGGGGGACCCGAGGGTCTGAGACATGCTACCCTAGGCCCGCATTGGTTGGTCCACCAGGATAATAGCCCGACCATCTCTTGCATCCTCATCCAACCATAGAAACCCCAGTGGAGTTTCTCTCGTTGTTTGGTTTTCATTTTTCTTCTTTGGCTGCTTTTTTGGGTCGCCCTGAGGGCTCACTTGGGTCCGTCTGAGACGCTGAACCACGTCGGGCGGGTAAACAAAGCGTGCAGTCCGGGAGGAACGAGGAGGAAGAAACAATCTGATAGATAACTTACATAGTGCATTGACTCCTTTCAATTTGATTTCCAGGAGAAACAAGTACTCTGCACAGTACTAGGTACTCTTTAGACTGCAAGTGTACATGTACCACCACTTCTAGTGCTAGCTAAGTTCTAACACATTACTAGTACCAGTGAGAAACACTCATCCGGCTCCACTCAGTCAACGTATGCAGTGCGCATCTCGACCTCCGACTGTCAGAAGTGGAATTTATTGATACGTACTGGAAGTACGTCAAGGGAGAGTCCAGTCCGGCCCATTCTTGACGCTCGTTTGTTCCCTCCCCATCCCCCCCAGGAAGTCAAGGTTCAATCCTCCACTGGATTGCAAATCGAATCCACGAGAAACCCCATCCCTCAGCAGCGTTGTCGTTCAGAGCAGATTGTCAACCGCTAGACTAGTGGGCGACTAGTGGTGGTGGTCGAGACCCGCCTCCAAACGCGAATCCACTTCTCCATCATCGCTGATTATCTTTCTCTCTCCTCTTGTTCGCCTTCCCACGCCCATCTCTGATTTTCCTGGTTCGGTTTCACATTCTTCGCCTCACTCACTTGCACTCCTCCTGTCGATTGCCGTTCAACAGTCGCTCGCTTCTTTTTATCCTTCCTTGTCGCGCGCTCGCTCACTCCGCCACCTATCTCTCCTCTGCCTTGGCTTCGCTCCGTCGATGCCGCCTCGGCTTCAATAAACACCATGCAGTCTAGCGCTCTCTGGCGGCGCGACGATTCCACGGATCAATTTCTCAAACTCATCCAGAACCCTTTCAAATCCGCCGTATGTTCTGCTTGCCCCATACAACCGCTTTCCCTCAATGCATAACTAAGGAGCACAACAGTTTCAAATCAACGCCGTCTGGGCCTCGCTGGCCACCTCCGCCGCCTTCAGCGTCCTCCTTGCCCTCCTATTCTCGCTCTTCAGACCTCGTCACTCCCTCGTCTACGCGCCCAAAGTCAAGCATGCGGACAAAAGACATACCCCGCCACCGGTGGGAAAGAGCTTCTTTGCCTGGCTCAAGCCCGTGGTGCGCACCAAAGAGCCCGATTTAGTCGACTGTGTCGGGCTCGATGCCACCATGTTTATCCGATTTGCCAAAATGTGCCGGAACATTTTCATCTTCCTGAGCATCATCGGTTGCGGTGTCATGATTCCTTTGAACCTCACGCAGAGCCAAGGCAACACCGTCTCCCAGTTCGGCGCCTTTGCGACGATGACCCCGCTCTATGTCAGCACTGACGCTATCTGGGGTCAGGTTGTTTGCGCCTGGCTGTTCGATATCATCGTGGTCTTCTTCTTGTGGCGGAACTACAAGGGTGTTTTGTCTTTGCGCAGAAAATACTTCCAGAGTGCCGATTATCAGCGCAGTCTCCATGCGCGTACACTGATGGTGTGTGACGGTCCCGCGAATCAGCTCTCACTGACAAACTCACTAACCACGTTATACAATAGATCACCGATATCCCACCATCAGCACGTTCGGACGAAGGCGTTCTGCGTTTGACGGACGAAGTCAACCCGACAGCTGCCCTCCCTCGAGCCGCCATTGGCCGTAACGTGAAGGATCTACCCCGTCTGATCAAGGAACACGACGAAACGGTGCGACAACTCGAATCTGTGCTGGCCAAGTATCTCAAGCGACCCGATCGACTCCCGCCCAATCGCCCGACCATGACCCCGCACCGGAAAGATAGAAGTGAGCACCCGAGCGGCAAGGTGGATGCCATTGATTACTTGACAAGTCGTATTCAGCGATTAGAAGAAGAGATCCGACATGTTCGGTCTTCTATAGATAGACGCAACGCCATGCCTTTTGGCTTCGTCAGCTGGGATATGATCGAGCATGCGCACGCTGTGGCATACAACGCACGCAACAAGCACCCTCAAGGCACGACCATCGCCCTGGCCACTCGCCCGGACGATCTGATCTGGGAGAACCTCCCTCTGTCCAAGGGCGCACGGAGGTGGAAACGATTCCTCAATGCGATCTGGGTGTCGCTCTTGACATTCGTGTACATTGTTCCTAACGGATTGATTGCTATCTTTCTGTCCAACTTGTCGAACCTGGGTCTAGTGTGGCCCGCATTCCAGACATCGCTCGATGCCAACCCCAAGGTTTGGGCCGCAGTTCAGGGTATCTTGTCTCCCGCCATCACATCCCTTGTCTACCTCGTTCTGCCCGTCATCTTCCGACGGCTGGCAATTCGGGCGGGCGACGTCACTAAGACCTCTCGCGAGCGTCATGTGCTTGGCCGTCTTTACTCGTTCTTTGTATTCAACAACCTTATCGTTTACTCCCTCTTCGCTGCCGCCTGGACATTCGTCTCCGCTGTCATCGATGCCCAGAAGACCGACAACAACGCTTGGAAAGCCATCCAGGATGGACAGTTCTATGAGAAGATCGTGAGTGCCCTGTGCAACGTGTCTCCCTTCTGGGTGACCTATTTATTGCAGCGAAATCTGGGTGCCACCATTGATCTGGTTCAATTGGTTACTGTCTTCTGGGTATGGTTCTCCAAGACGTTCCTCTCGCCTACCCCTCGCCAGGCTATTGAGTGGACGGCTCCGCCATCTTTCGAGTATGCCATGTATTACAACTACTTCCTCTTCTACGCTACCGTCGCGCTTTGCTTTGCGACACTACAGCCCATTGTGCTACCCGTCACCGCGCTCTACTTTGGGCTGGATGCAATGATGAAGAAGTACATGCTGATGTATGTGTTTGTGACCAAGACCGAGTCTGGCGGTCAATTCTGGCGCGTTCTGTTCAATCGCATGGTTTTTGCGGTTATCTTGTCCAACATCGTCATTGCCTTTGTGGCTAAAGCCAAGGGTACTTGGACCATGGTTTATTGTGTGGTTCCGCTGCCGTTCATGATGCTCGGCTTCAAGTATTATTGTATGAGGAAGTTCGATTCTGACATCACCTACTACAACCGCGCGAACCTCACGGATGCCGAGGCCCTGGCAGTCAGCAAGCCGAACAAGAAGGCATCTGAGCGGCTAAACGCCAAGTTCGGCCATCCCGCCCTTTACAAGCCCCTCATCACCCCGATGGTGCACGCCCGGGCTGCGGAAGCGCTGAAGCGTATCTACAGCGGTCGTCTGGGAACTGCCGACGCCGAGGGTGAATACTCAGACATTGCCATGGATGCCATGTCGACGGCTCACCCGGGAAAATCTATGATGGACGCTACAAGCCCGGCGCCTTTCGAAGTCGTCCCCGAAAATCACCTAGACTTCTCCTATTACAAGGACCGGCCGGATTTCAGGGACGAGTTTGGCGGCGGTATCTATGGTCGTCCGGACGATGTGTTTACCGAACGCTCGCATACGCCCCGGAGTGCATTGGGTGAGTGGTCGCCCACCTCTTCGCGCGCCTCGTCCCCGACCCCATCGGTGCCGTCGCTCTCCGGGTTGAAACCGCACGATAGCTACGATCCGACCGCCTACGACCACATCCATCCTGCCTTCCGTGTTCCCGCACCCATAGGAGGCAGCGGACTCTATCATCAGCGTAACGAGAGTGAGACGGAGCTGCTTGCTCAAGCACAACAGCCGGCAGTTCCGGAGATGGCCACGCCATTGGACCGCTGGCGGACGAGAGGTTACGGTCCTGTCGAGCAGGATGATCCCACTTTCACCTCGTATGAGCACTACCGAATGCCACACTAGGCGCTGTGTGCAGATATGATTTTTTTTTATTGTTTTGCAGCGACAACGATTACTAGATCGTTGATACATTAGATTTTGGGATGGGATTTTTGGGCTTCCTCTTGCGAGGAGGCAGGAGTAGCGGAAGCAACGTGCCCACGACTATTTTGATTTTGTTTAAACATTGAGCAAGAGCTGTACATATTTACATGATTAGAAGATTTGTGTGTAAATACGGATTTCCGGATCACATGCAAAAGTGGACGAGTTGTGTCTTGTTCAATAACACAGTAATAATAAATAGCCTAGTGCATGGAACTACCTAGTACTCATACTATGCCCGATAGGAACTTGGAAGGCCGCTGAGTCCTCAGGAACCGAGGGTGCTGACCAATTAATGGCCAGACCCGCAGCTCATCGGCCCTCACGCTTCGTCCATCATCCGTCATCAACTTCCCCTCTCTCCTCTCTCACACCAACCGGCTTCGATTGCTTCACGGGGCTGCAATGTGGTTGTTCATCTCCAGTCAAGGTAGCTCCGTGACTGCCCGACCGACTTCTCCTGCAACAACTGACCATCGGCCCACGTACCTTGCTGCTTGCACCCACCACTCCTAAGTGCCGAGCCGGACTCCGGGTGCCGTCGGATTCCCTGTGATCGAAGACAAACAGCTTCGCCGTACCCCAGTCAACAGGGAATATATAATCCACAGCCAGCGGACAAGTCCTGGCGACTGCTGTACCTGTTTGCCAACTCGTGCCGTACCCACACCGATGCTCGCCGGACTTCCAGCAACCTCACCACCACCAATCGACTGAAACGAACAATACACCACCTTCCATTACCTTCCGCGTCTCTCCTTTCCTTCTACAACAACCCATATCCCTGCCCATAATAATCTTCAAGCCTTGACATACACCACCATGGCATGGTACTCACTTCTTCCGTCCGACTTTCTCTATATTGAAAATTGGCTTGTGCGAGTCTTTGTCCGTCTCACGCCCCCCCCTACCCCCTCCCTCTCTTTGCTTACCGCTTTTCCTTCCAAGCTTGCCACTAACGGTCGATTGGTCACACCGTAGATATTCCTCGGCTTTGTCACTATACTCCCATGGGCTACATTACTGGTCTTCGACATCTGTCTGTACATTTGGCGGATGGTGAAATATGAATTCCCCCTCATCGGCGGACGAGCGCGGGGTAAGCAGCGACCGCGAGCCCCGAGCTTGAACGAGAGGCCGGATGGGCAGCCTAGGGTCCTGGGGCTGGGGACGGGGGCCCTAGTCAATGACATCGGAGATGGGGGGATTGCAAGCGTGGAGAAATTACGAAGCAGAGGGGGGAGGTATGAGGGAGACGAGGACACCTGAGCGCATTTGGCGTCTCCCCGCTTCTGTGTTGAGAGAGCTCGGCTCGCCTCCCGGTGAGGCTATTTTCCTTGAGTCTTGTCGAATTCTGGATTTATGCTGCCTTGGATGAACTCTCTGACTGCCGATTGGCTACCGCGTGGAAGGGAAGGTGGATGGATGCAGTGCCTGTGCTCAGGTGGTAGTTGGAGGGAGGTCTGCATGTATGGACAAAGTGACTGGCGACATGTTTGAAATTCGTCTGTGTATATTGATACCCTGTATGTACTCTGATTACTCTGATTTCTGCGTATATCAATTTGTCCTCATCTAAATCATCAGGTGCCAAGTTGCTATCGTGACTAAGGTACTATCGGCCGGTTGAGCAATCAGCATACAGCGGGAATCCCCACCAATGGCAGCCCGCGATAGTATGCCATTCATGAGAGGATAAGGTACTGGTGTACTATCTGGGCTGCCGCATGATAACGTGGAAGTACTTCTATCGAAGTACTGCAGTGCACTTTACTCGCACCGCTCCTACATCTCTCCAGGCTCCTTAATTCTTCCTCCTCTTTCAGCCGGTTTTACCAGAAATACTAGTATACCCAAGAGGTCGGACAATGGACCTTCTCACATCAACCGTTGATGCCAGCATACTATACGTCGAGCAGAATCCCTTCTCAATCGTCTTCCTTGTATTCACCCTCTGGCTCTTTGGACGATTCATCCGAGTATGTCTTTCTGATTATGTACCGTGAGATTGGAACTGACTGAAGATTGCCCAGGGCCAGCCAAACTCCATTGACAATGTCATCTCGGAAGCAGAGAAAGCTGGGTACCCGCCCATTGAGCCTCTCCACTCCTTCGACTGGGAGACTACCGAGCCACTGCAGTTCCGGCCTTTCAAGGCGAAGTATCATCTCACAATGGGTATGGAGCTCCGAGTCTCCCCATGCAAACCTTTCTCTGTCCTCGTTCGTCGCCCATTCCTGTTGCACAGGGCAGTGTCTCAGGGACGCTCTACGTCTCGCTTCAATGCACCCACCCGATCTATAATGGACTATATCCCCTATGGCCCTTTGTTGTTGTCATTAACCCAAGACCAACCTCATTCCCCATCATGATACGACAAACTAACCCACCCCCGACAAAACAGCCCTCTCGAACCTCAACATCTCCACCCTCATCCCAATCGACAAGACCTACAGATCCCGACTCGCCTACCGCCAGTCCCTGCTTTCGAAATACCCTTCCGTCGTGATCGGCGTCACACCCACCGCCGAAACAGAGGGCAGCCTCGCCCACTCTGCCGTCCGCGAGCTCTACGAGTTTGTTCTCGGCGTATACCTCCCCACCAGGTATCCGGTGGTCTTCAATTTGATTGACTCTCCTAGCAGCAGCAGCAGCAGTCTAGGCCCAGAAAGCAGCACGAGTGACGAAAAAGAGGAGGGTGGTCTAACCGAACCGACGGCAACGACCGAGAAGAAACCGAAATACCTCCTCAACAGAATCACCAATCATTCCATCCCGACAAAGTGCCCCACCTCCGCCCGCGAAGCCCTTACCACGCTGGGAACGGTCGTGGACGAGGACTTCCTGATCCTACTGCCTACCTCGCAGGTGGGTCCACCGTGTGGTGATGAAGAGAGAAAGGCGGAGGAAGACGAATACACCCTGCAAGCGTACACGACCTTCTACCCGGCGGGATTCGACACGCGGGCGAAACTCGGCCGCACGCTCTCCGCCATCCACGACCCGGTGCCGCGGTACAAGGAGAAGCTGGAGAAGAGTATGGACCGATTCTTTGCCAGGCTGGAGGTCGGGCGGTTCGTGCAGCGGGTGAACTGGAGTGTGACGACGGGGACGGAGCTATTTGCTGCGTTCGGGGGCATCCATGGAGATACTACGAATGATGGTGGGGAGGAAAAGGGCGGGAAGGATGGTGGGGTGATGGGACCGGATGAGTTGAATGTTGATGATGTATGTTCTGCGCAATCACCCCTTTCCTACCGAATGTCGGCTCTCGTTGTCTTTGGTTGTGTTGTGTGTTGTCCGGGCATGAGATGAGCTGCTAACCTCGGTTGTAGACCTTCCTGCGCTGCGAGCGCCAGACGCTCCATCGTCTGCCCGAGACCAAGGCGCTGGTGTTCACCTTCCATACGTATACGTACCCGATCCGGACGGTCAAGGAGGAAGGATTAGGCGAGGAGCTGGCGCAGGCGATCGATGGGTTGAAGGGGGGCAGTGTGCCGGAGATGTGGTGGTACAAGAGGGGGGCGGTCTGGGGGGAGGCAGTCAAGGCATATCTGCGGGGGTGACACAGTCTACTGCGTACATGCTAGAGCCCATACTAGACTTCTTGGAGAGTATAAAGCATAGAGCTTATTCGTCGCTCGGATAAGCAGATACTGTCTGTCATGAATGCCCTTCTGCAGCGTTAGTATACATAAAACCCGAGCATCACACACTTCCCCATGAATGGGGAACCGAGGCACCTGGGACCATTTTCTGCCACCGCCAAAACCTACCACTCTGCCCCACTTTTTTCCGGGCCCTGTTCATGGCCAAAATCGCTGCTGCGGCCTGCGAGGTCGCGACTGTTCTGCCGCGACGAGCGGTCAAAAAGGCGGTCCTATCCCAGCCAATGAAGATGTATTATGACTCCACCGCCTAGAGCGGCAGAACGCTCGCGACCTCGCGGCCGGAATCCAGATTTCGGCCATGAACAGGCCCCGAAAAAAGGTGGGGCAGAGTGGTAGGTTTTGGCGGTGGCAGAAAACTCCCGCTCGATTAGGAATAGTGCACTCCGCGGAGACCCAAGGCACCTTCGCGACTTAGACTACCTAGTCAACTGCAGGTAGGTCTTATCGGATACTAGGTATCCTTACTATCCACACCGCGGCCGGCCCTCAACATTGCTTCCAAGTTACTACCCTCTATTCTCGACCAAGATAACCATCAACCACCAAGCATACAACCCACCACCACGATAACACCAAAAATTCACCCGAAACACCGAAACAGAAGGGAGTAAAATGTCCAACCAAAACCTCTACGGCCACCCACCACGCAAAAAGCAAACCTCCTCTCAGTCAGCCGCCCCCTCGTCCTCAACCCTAGCCTTCACAACCACCCTGTCCAACCTCATCGCCGCCCGGGATCCGGGATCTTCGACGTCCACGTCAACCGGCCGTCCCCGCCCCTCCAAATCCAAAGACGCTTCCGAGGGGTTGTTCGCCCGCCCGAACCGCGGGGCGCAGAAGCGCGCGGCGCAGGATCTTGTGGTGGACGAGAGCGATGTGACGACGACACTCTCCGGTGGAACTGCGCAGGTGCACCAGCGGACCCGGGATCTTGGGGGACGGGTGGACGAGGCGGTGCTGCAGCGGTCGAAGCGGCGGATGCAGGAGAAGGCCAGGGTGTATGAGGATTTGAGGAGGGGGTTGTATCTTGGTGGGAGTGATTCCGAGTCTGAGGGTGATGGTGGTGGTGATAGGGTAGGGGAGGGCGAGGGGGAGAGGTATTTGAGGAGGTTGAGGCGGAGGGAGAGGGAGGGGTTGGTGGATTTTGATCGGAAGTGGGCGGATGTGCATTCTCGTTCTGATGATGATGATGAGGAAAGGGATAGGGATGATGCGTCGATTATCTCCTACGAGGATGAACTGGGGCGGACCAGGCGCGGGACCAGGGCTGAGGCGGCGGAGGCGGCCAGAGTGAAGAAGCAGCAGCTGGAGGAGGAGGAAGATGGCCGTCACGAGGCCGGGGAGAGATGGCGGCCCCGTCGGCCGGAGAATCTCATCTATGGGGAGACCGTGCAGAGCGAGGCGTTCAACCCGGATGCGAACGTCGCGGCGCACATGGCCTACCTGGCGAAACGCCGGGATCGCTCGGTGACCCCGCCGGAGGAGACCCATTACGATGCCGAGGCCGAGGTCAGGAACCGCGGCACCGGATTCTATGCCTTCGCCAGGGATGAGGAAACTAGGAGGCGGCAGATGGAGGAGCTGCGCGCCGCGAGGGAGGAGACGCAGAGGGAGAGGGAGGAGAAGCAGCAGCGGCGCGCGAGGAGGGAGGAGGCGAGGAACGAGAGGCGCGTCAAGGTCGACGAGTTGAGGTCCAAGAGGCGCGCCGAGATGTTCCTGGCCGGGTTGGGCGACGTCGGCGTGGTATGAATTACTTCCACCCAAATTTCGCATTCGTGCTGGCGTTGCGTGTTTGCTTCTCTAGAGATACCCATCCAAATCTTAATCATTCATGACATTAAAAGAATCCAGGTCCACGGAGTAACCAAGGGGTACCATTGCCTGGTCTGAGACCAGCTTATGTATACATAGCACATGCCACCGTCACGGTCATTCCGACAACAAACAGGAAACCTCCGGATTAACTCTTAGTGGTCTTCAATCATCAGTCATCAATCGTACCCATTTTTCTTTTGGCAGCATGTGTCATCCATGCGCGAGCTCAGTCATAGTCTCATAAAAGCCTTGCGCATCTAACCAGAGTGAGCTTCTTCTACACATGAAATGATTGCTGGTACGTACCCGAACGATGGGTGAATTTCAGGACATGCTCTCCTCGAGTTGTCTGAGGGGGTGTATAATCAGGGAACGTGAAGATGCTCCGGCGTATCTCCTTCAACACCACAACCTTAGGCTCAGTACGGCGAATCCAGCCGCGAGTCCCGATGTGGTCTGTGATAAAAGCCGTCCAGACGGGGGATCTAGATCATTCAGCCAGACGGCCGTATGGCACAATTCGTTGAGACTTACCGCTTCAACTCCCCCTTGTGGACCGATGCCTGGAGCCGTACAGCGCCGGACACCTCGTCCCGGTAAACACGCAATGCATGGAGGAAATCGTCGTCCACAATTTGTCTGGCTGGCTCGGTTATCGCCTCTCGCCGTCCACTGGACAGGGGTGACCTTACCCTCCAAAGAGTTCTTCCTCTTGCGCCAGCTCGTAATCGCGGATACTCTCCACAGCCACAGGACGCCCGGAATCTTGCGATCGAAGTGCCAAAAAAGTGCAGAAGAAAATCACCATCTCTGCTTTTGCGTTAGTAGAGCCCAGTAGAACACCCATTTATCGCACGTACGCTCGATAGTGCTGAATTTGAGGTTGGCCCACAGAACCAGTTCGCTGCCCCCACGACGGCGCCGGCACAACTGTAGACAGGATCCAACACGGACGATCTCCAGCATATTCAGTGGCAGGATGAAATATTCGTTCGACCGCGCAGAACGGCGTGCTTTGCACACAATGCGTGCACGATGGTCTTCATCTCGTAAATAGAAGCATACTCTGAGATCGGTCTCGCTATTGAATGCTCTATCGTCCGTCAGTCCTTCCACCGACCGATATCAGGCGCATGTGCAACTCACAATTGTAACAGCTCCTCGAATCCCTCGCCGTCCAGCCATGCTTTCGGATTGGACTTGGGTTCACCCAGACACTTGGAGCTGCAGCCTGTTAGCGGATGTCTGCACTACTGAAGCTATTGTATTGACCTTTCGCCAATATAGGGGATAGGCGTTTGCGGGTGATCATCTAAGAACACCCGTCTCGCCCAATGCTCGCCAAGTACACTGGAATTGGTCGATTGGCTCGTGGCAGTCGTAGTGGAAGGCGAGCCCGGTGCATCTGGAGCCGAGGGAGGGATATCCGAGAAGGTGCCAGATGAAGCGGAGGTGGGCGACTGGAGCCCCAGGTGAGACGGACGAGCTCGCTCGTAGGATCGTCGGGTGCGGGGTCTGCGATCACTGACCGGACTGCCGGGTTCGCCACTGGTGTTGCTGCTGCTACTGCTGCTGCTCGACGAGGGGGAACTCAGAGACAGGGACCCCAGGTGCGACGCAACCTGGGATTCCTGCTGCACCAACAAGCCCTTGAGGTTGCGTCGCAGAGAGGACATCAGTCGATCATCGGGTGCATTACTACATGATTACAGACGCATTTGTCAATTGACCTGCATTTCCGGCGAGAGCCACATGGAGTGACGAACCCCTTCATTAGAGCCTCCAAATCGGACAGAAAGGCCTTATACTTGGCTAGACGGGTAGACAGTGAGTCGTGCGACTCCTCCCGGAAGAAAGTACAGAGGTCAACCCATGTCCGTTTGTAGACCTCCCGGCTGGAGCCTCTCCGCGCCTCCAGGTCTCCGAAGAAGTCAACAACATCTTCGAGCGTATACTTCAAGCTTGCCCGAACCAGTTCAAGGTCGGGCTGGACGGCGTGCAGGTTGCGCCGGTAGTTGCGATTGCGGGCCAAGTCTTCGAGATTCTTGAGGGAGGTGCTAATTGCATAGAGATCGGCGATCAGGCTGGTGATCTCCGTTGAATGCTCCGGCAGGGGGTCGCGGAAAAGACGAAAGCCAGCGGCCACGTCCTCTGCATTGTCGGCAGATGTACGCAGAGCCATAGTGATGGTCACTTATGGTAAGGCCCTGCATGTATGCTTATGGGGATCTTTCGTTGTATGGTTGAGGTCGAGAGACAAGGAGGAGATAGACTCCCACCAGACAGACACACGCGGCTCACTATAGCTGCTTGACAATTTATATGGAGATCGCAGTAAGGGAGATCAACAGGGTCCCAGGAGAATTACGTGATAGGGTAGTAGATACACCAGGAGAGGGGCAGTGGGAGACAACTCAGTAGACTGCAATGCTGGAGTCAGAAAGAGAACCTCTTATCGGTGGGATCGTCCCTAGGATGCATGTCGGCTGGAGTCTCACCAAACAGATAGATGGACGCAGACCATAGGAAATGGATGAATGGATTGGAGTCTCGCCCAAGGATTGACCAGGCAAAGGTGCAACTTGCACCACACGCAGAAGGCACCAGTACCAGCACCAGCGCGTAAACACACAGGAAGGAGAGAGAGAGAGAGGGTCGAATAAGTCAGACAGGGTTTTGATCTCGATCATCCGCACAAAGGAAGGAATGCAGAACAAGAATCACCCGCGGGTGGGGCTAAGTTCAGTCTAGTTTGTTGCCGGACGGAATGGCAGCAGCCCATAGTTACTAGGTAGGTAGTTAGTTAGTTTGCGGCTCTCTGTCGGACGGACAGACCGGCACTGGAGCCAGAAGCCAGAAGCCAGAAGGTCAGAAGAAGAAGCCTGAGACCGACAGACCGACAGACCGACAAATTGATTGTCTGTCTTGTTTAACGATAGCAACGTGCCTCCGACCTCGAGGGGAGAGAGGGGGGGGGGGCACCATTGACGTGTTCATGCGGCGGCGACGGGCAAAAGCCAATAACGGGCGGTGGAAATGCATGGCGGGATGGAGCGATGGTGGAGGGGAAAAATCGAGGAGGAAGACGAGGAGAAGGCCGTGGTGTGACTTTATCCTGGGTGGGGGGTTTGTGGTGATACGAGCACAGGCGATGGGAGTTTTTGATGCAAGAGATGACAAGGAGTGCCTTCATACCCTTTGCAGCAAACAGTGCAGAGAATACTGCTCGGTCTGTCTGTATGTCATATTGGCCATGACTGACATAGTACAGAGTACTTGGTGAACAAGGAAAATTCGCCGGAGCAACTCAATTAACCACGGTAGTAATTAGTGTCTGTCTGTCTGTCTGTCTGACTTGCAGATGAGGGGAAACAGAAACCTTACTAGGAAAGAGGAGAGAGAGAGAGAGAGAGAGAGAGACTCCGAGAACCCTGGCAGTCACGGGATCCTCGAGGAAGAAGACTCGGAAATCTAATCGTTGTTAAAGTTTGGGGCCGACGGCTTCATTGCACTGCATTCTGAACTTCCAACGGTGCTGTCAAGTAGATCGATATTGGAGAGCTCATCCAGAATAATTGCCTGATGTCACTCGCATCAGACAGGCGTGACTGTCAATAGCTACTATTTGCGTAGCAGTTATGAATAATACCAAGAATGATGATTTTGTCGACTATGTTTCGAAGATAACATTAGCAGCCAAAATGAATCAAGAAAAAGCTATACAATATACTCTCAAGCAGAACAAGTGGTGGCAAGTGTGGTTGTAGTTAGCGAAGTATGTACTGTACTGCATAGGACTGACTATATTGAAGTTATCTCTGGCAAACGCCCGTGTCAGGCACATATATCCTTGACCTGATATGCCGTAGCTTTGGGCAGATATACATGAAAATACTCCTAGCCAAGCATCCACCCAGTATATGAAGACTTGACTGTGAGCCATAAGTTGACCAGTACTTTTTGATCGAGATGACTCGTTCACAACATCCATATGACACATGCCGTTGTTTACATTGGCCTGAGGCACAAAGACAATTCAGGCTCCAAGGCTCCAAGGCTCTACGCCCCCCGGGCTTATCGGAGAACTGGACGCGTCGAACACGTAAACAAGCTGTCGCTCCGCGTCACCGCCGGGAGCTTGGGCCAACTCCTGCAAGGAAAGTCCTTCCAGAAATACCAGAGCACCCCCCCCAATGGAAGCGCTCTACGTACTAGATCTGGATTTATGTCCTTACATAACCTCACAGGAATTCTATCATTCATCAATAGACTGATCGAAAAAAAAACATTAGAGAAAAGGGGACGGGATCCAGAGTCGCTTAGGTGAGGATGCGGTTGATTAAGCTATTATACAGCAGTCTTTGCTGGCCTCACACTTTCTGCAGCTTCATTTCGATATTTCATCATAGACGCTCAAATCAGGTTTCCTTACAGCTCTGAGATTCAGCGCCGGGACTCCCTTATTCAAGTCAAATGTGTCCGAAAGCCGCCAGTCCGTACAGTAAACATTTCCCATTGATATCCTTCATGAACAGAAAAGCAAGGAGAGGAAACCACCACCGTCATCCGTACCAGAAGCCGTTGAATAGATAATAGAATATAGAAAGCCACAAATACACGTCACACGAGAAAAGACACAAACGCCGTTGGGTCCACGCAATAAGACCTAGGGGATTGGGGAGCTTTAAGAGGACTCCTCATCCTCTTCGGCGGCAGCCTACACCAACACGGTTAATATATTTCAGAGCATACGGAGTTCACGACAACTTACGTTGTAGCTGGCCTTCTCGTCTTCGTAACGCTTCTTGTCGGCAGCAGCCTTATCCTCGTAGGGGCGGCGCTCCGAATCGCTCAGGGCCTTCCACCGCTCTCCGAGCATCTTACCAACCTGACCTAGAGGACTGTTAGCGACAGGGTGCATGCCATCAGGGAGATCGCAAGCAGTACGTACCGAAGGAGATACCAGGGTTCTCCTCGCGAACCTTCTCGCGGTTGTCGTTGGCGAAGAACATGTAGGCGGAGAGACCACGCTTGGGAGCGTTGGGGTCTAGAGCAACAAGTCAGCCACAGCATTGTCGATGAAAAGGTGGATGCTTACCCTTCTTCTTACGCTCAACACCACGACCCTTGGTCTTGCGAGTAGCCTTCTCCTTGGGCATTTTGAAAATGAAGTCTGCAGACGTGAAGATTAGCCTGGAAGTTGGGGACTGTTGAACTTGGCGGATGAAAGGCTCGCAAGGACAGCAGAGAGGTGCCAGACAGATGACTTTATCCAAACAGAACGGCGGAAAGAGAGAATCAGACAAGTAAGGAGGGGAATTGCAGAGCGCGTAAGCTAGAAGGTGGAGGGAAGTGTTGCGTCAACCCGTGGTTTGCGCGCGCCCAAACAAGAACGATCGCGGTCGCAAGCCAAACGACACCAAGAGGGCAAGTCGCGCAGAACAGTGACTTACCTGACAACCAAGTCAGGCAGAAGGCGAACGACAAGGAAACAGAATTGGCAAGAAAAGACTGTGGGGGAATCAAAAGAGCTTGGGGGTAGATCAGGGCTGTTAGGAACTATAAGAGTGCTGTTGCAGAGGGCGCGACAGCGAGATCGCGCAACTGCGGAGGGAAAACCAAGGGAAATGATGATTTGAAAAAGCAATCAGGATGGAAGAAAACGGGATTGAGGAAGAAAATCAATTTGTGTTGGTGTTGAAGAAACAGTGCTCGAAAGGCGGAATGTTGATATGGAACCTACCGATGCGGTTATATGCAGTACTTTTTTGTATGGGGAGAGAGAATTGTATGGGAGGAGAGCAGGTAGAGTGAGTGAGTGAGTGGTGAGTGAGAGAGTGAGTGTGAGAGAGGGAGGGAGAGAGGGGAGAGTAGTAGTAGTAGGAAAAGAGAGAGAGAGAGAGACGGGAAGGCGGGCGGGCCATTACCTACCTACTCTTCCTACCTCACCCTCACTCACTCTTGGGAAGGGGGGAAGTGGGCAGCACAGCAAGGGAAACAACCGCTCTCTGCCGGCTGCGACTGGCTGGTTGGTTGCCGGAGAATGGTCCGTATGGTTCCATACCCGTCATGTCTTGTCATTTTCTTCTCCTCCCCTCCTGCGATTCTCCGCTGCGACATTCTGGCTGACCTTTCACGCTTTGTCTGGGCAACTTGAGTGGTCTATCCTTCAGGGTTACAGTGCTCCTTTCAGCAAATCTAAATGACTCCCACTCCCATGGTCCAATCCATGCTTCAGTTGCCGACTGAAGAAAAAAAGGTGGGTGCTGAGCATTGCACCTGATGCAGCTCCACCGTTACCCCCAGTATGATCTAATACCGTACATTGCTCATACCCCATTGTGCGCCACTACGGGGTGGGTAATTGACCTTGGGTAAAATACATAGCCGTAACACGATGGAAAGAGAGGTCGCTCCATGCTGTATCCGATAGTTACCACTCCAATAGTAACGGGCAGCTTACCATACTGCAAGCTGGAAGCTACCGGGGCAGTACAGTGAGTATCGTACATCCGGGGCAGGCGCTCAGGGAACAACTGCTACTAATCTGGCAGCGCTCAGTCGTACTTCCACACCGCGCGACTGCCCCCAAATGCCGCGCCATTGAAGGAAGTTCCTTCGTCGGTACATCTATTCTGGGGAGGATCTGCGAAGGCGCGTCTCTGAATAGCTAGTAATTTTGAAAACATTTTGGGCTTCCATCTCTTTGAAAGGATGTTCACATATACATAGGCAGCTGCATTATTGGGCCATTTCGATCTGTTTGTAACTGACCACTGCACAAAGACATGAATGACCTGGGCTGTCTTTTGTACTGTACCTCGGTGGAAGGAACCACGGCCGAGCTGGCGCGATCTCAATCAAGAGATCACATCCGCGTCGATAATTCTCCGCGTTATCCTGCCATAAATCCTGTGCCTGCCTCCCTCAGGGTAAGTAAGATCTAGCCCTGCAGAGTACTAGACGAGGATGCTCTTTGCGCGCAGCTCTCACCCATCTCCCGCGTTCAATTCACTGGCGCTAAGTTATCGAGAGTAGTCAAGATTTTATCAACTCAACTGGTGCCGGCCCTGGATATCACTAGCAGTATTATTATTGTGCTATTTACCCCGAAAAAAACTGCCTCAAAGGCATTCTGATGCTTGATGTATCTACTCTACATGGACCAAGCGCTATATAGAAGTCGTATGATGTGGATACCCTACAGCGCTCCTTGCACAATTGACCTTCTATAGGCCGATGAATATGCCTCTGACTGAGACGAGGACGATGGCTGGCCCATTGCTGTGCTGGAGGTGGTAACAGAGTCTAGTGGCACTAAGAAGTGCTCCTGTTCGAGGATAGGCCGCTTCTTCCAATGAACGGCGGAATGAGTACTGCAACTGTGATGTAGAGGTCATAACAGGAGAACTATTGTTAACTAGATTAATCATAAAAATCTTCCTGCCAATTCTAGGGAGACAGAGTCCAAGGAGACGGAGTTACTACACAAGTACGCCTACTATGCAATTATTATTGATTGGAATCTCCTATTTCAAGTAGTAGTGCCAACTTTCCTTCCGTTGGCTATTGTACCAGTCACAAACCACTCATACTTGGTGATCATCTATTGCTCTGTGTCCGGTTTTCAAGACCAGTGCTGCTGCTGCTGCTACTCAGTCAGGTCAGTTACATCCTACTAAGATTGGTGAAGTCCTGTAAGAGATTCCTGTATTGTTAGAGAATCTCCTTTTCTCGCACCAGCAAGCTTGAATAGGCGGAGCCTGAGCGTACAGTACAGCATAACTTACGGACTCCTCTTTCTCTTACTTATAATGGGTTAAGGTCCCCAATTGTACGACTTTCTCGGTCATATGGCAGAAACCCCCAAGCTTGCTCACTAATAGCCTGTGGTAATATTGGCGGTTGTTGTCGCTACCCCCCCCCAAAAAAACAAATATCAGCGGGTTGCAGTGATCTATCTTGAGGGTTGCATAGAGGGAGAGGAAGACCTTCCAACGACGTCCTGTACAGTACCGGTGCAAATGCCACCGCATTCCGCACTGCAAACAACACCCATTGAAAACTTACAGTATCGGCAAAATACTGGATCCGCGTACTATGTACAACCTTCCCAACGACGTCTAACAATACCTGAATGTGTGTATTGTAATCGGGGCAGCTGCGCCCTGCCCTCTCAGTAATTCTCAATCCATAGTGAGGGGTCATTGACTCCGTTGCTTGGTTCTACCGTTCTAGGTGGAAACGCCGGGCTCTCTTCTGGTTTGCTCAGATCTTTCTCTGTCTTCCCTCCACCCACCCCTCCTCTAAGCAAATCTCCTCAGCTCACATGCAAGACTTCTAGGCTGGCCAGTTTTTGGCGGCGTTTTGCTTTACCTGCAGCTGTGACTGCTAACTTACCGCCAACCCAGCTGTCAGTTCCCTTTTGCCCTTTGTTTCTTGTCTGCTGCAAGGGCTCCCTCACTTTATCGGCTTGGGGTCACCGTTTGCTTACCCATCCATACCTAGTATTCAACCCTCAAGTTGCTGCTGCTGCTGCCACCACAAAGCATTGGCTAACTAGCCCACCCACCGTATGACGAAGGCTTAGTAGCTTCTTTGCCTTCGGCCGGTGGGCCATGATGTCACGTGGGTCACACCACTCAGTTCAGTCTTCGCGCCTTTTTTTTTCTCAGCCCCAATAGTTAGCTCGAGCATTGCAACTTCGTCAGACTTCTCTAAGATCTTCCTGCCGATTCTTATTAATCGATGGCTATCGTGCGGAGCGGACCCCCATTGCTCAGTCATAATGTACTCGAGTATCATTTTGATCGATCATCAAGTCCCATGCGAGCCATGGAACCCCAAATAACCCGTCATTGGCACTGTTCGATTGTCGATCCACCATTCATCAAGGGTATAATCCTTTCCACCCATAACGCCTGACCCGAGTAAACGCTAGAAAACCACCCTACTCTTCTTCGTAGTTACAGTACATTAATCGTCAGACTCATCTAGAACCAGGGCGGTGAGCGTTTCGTCTTCGGCCCAGTTCACTTCGCTCCCAACAACTATAGCGCTGGCGATGCTCTTCATGACCTCCCATCTCGCTTTGCTTCTGCGGTGATCTGCCTCCAATTGCTCTAGCTGTGATTTGAGCTCCGGGTCATCAAGATCCTCCCTCCAGGATTCATCATCCTCTGTGAGGGACAGTAGCTCGCGGACCAGTTCTTGATTCTTCTGGTGGAGCTGTAGATTCTCTACCTCCAACCCAGTAAGCTTTTGGAGCGACGCCGTATGCATGGCATTCAAATTCTCATGTATTGTGGACAGCACATCGCGACGATTGATCAGCCGATGAAGGGCCCTATTGTCTGTTAGTGGAGGCAGGAAGGTCAACACATGAAGTGCAGGGCTGGTGAAGCATAGAAGACCATATCGAAGGGGAAGAAATACCTTTCAGCGGGAGTGGTGGCCTTCAGATGAACAGCTTTTAGGGCAGGATCAGTCATAAGAACGGTTCCCACAGCCTTCCTCCTGACTGTGTAGGTGGCTCTCGCCTCCAGCAGCTCACGTTCTGCTTTGGCTAGTTCCTCTTCCGCATTGTCACCCGAGAGCAATTCCGTGTCTGTTGAAACATCAATAGGCATGAATAGCACAGATACTAGGGAAAGAATCGAAGAAAGGAAGGAGAGAAAGGGACGATCCATGCGTGCATACATACCTTGCTCTAGTAGTGCCTTTTCTAGTTGCTGTTCCTGGATCTGGTGATAGAGCTGCAGGATCAAAGTCTCCTTGTCCGACAACAATACCGTATCGCGTGGATCATCGGTCGCAAGATTTAACAGGGCCAGTTCACCTGGGCCCAGGTGAGGGAGGGAACGAAGGTTCGCAGAAGTCATGGAATAAGACCTCGTGGCAAGTCAAGTCGGAGAAAAGGCTCTCGTGGGATTTACAGTAGTATACTTGTTCCAAACTTCTTGTTCTCTTTCCCAGCGTTGGTCTCGCTCACCCATCGAATTTGGGGGGGGGGAGTTGGAGATCGACGAGCGTCCAGATGCTGCTGGGTTCAAGGGCGGTGGAGTTCCCGGCCGTGCGGTGGGCGGTCCCGGGGCACCTTGTCAAATGTGTACGGAGTACTGTGTAGAGCTACTCATGTACACCAAGTGAGCTTCTGAGATTATTTGGTTAGCTCCATTAGTTAGTTATAACTTACCACTGCAATTAAGGTTGTTATTATGTATGTCTGGCTGCTTTGCTTGACTACCGACAACGGTCAGACGGACTGACAAGGAATTCATTATTTACTGCTCCGTCTGTCTTCTTCCTCGTCTTCTCCATCTTCTTCCTTCCTTATCTTCTCCCTTCCCGCATTCCTTCCCTTGAACTTCCCCCCCCCCCTCTTCGAATACGTTCTCGACCAGCTTCTCTCTCCGCTGCTCACCTGGTGAGGAGGTGATGTCTTTGCACATCTACATAGCTCACACTGGTGAGCATTTTCTCGCTGATCCGGTGTCTTTGGCCTCGTAAGTTATCGTCACTGCCGCCTTTTACCCCGGCTTCCTTCCTCATCTCCAACCA